CAATATATTTTTGTCATATACTTTTTAATGTTATTTACTATTACTATAGTCAAGTAATATTTAAAAAAACATTGAAGTTTTTTTAAAACTAAATATATAAATATTTTTATATTATTAAACTCTATATATATATATATATATATATATATATATTATTTGCTGAGTTATTATATAAAATAAATTTACTATAAACAAGCTAAATAAATATAAATTATGTCAAATCAATATGAATTTATAAATGCAAAATAATTTTATTTAGGTTGAATTATTAATATAAATTTATAATGTTTATATGTAATTATAATGTACAGACAGTATAAAAGACTAGTATTACAAGTAGTTCAGTCAATCTGAGTAAATATTGTAATTTTTTTAATTAAAATTGAATTAAAATACTTTTTTAAAATTGTTTTTTCTATCTATTTATATCTGATATAATTTATACTGTATATACAATAGATATACAGTAGTATATAACATGAATATAGATTACATAGAAAAAGTAACTTAAAAATATTGACATAACTAAATTATTATTATTATTATTTTATTGTTTAATATAAATAAAAAGTTGACTATATTAAGTATTTACTTATAAATTTATTTATAGATTTAATGATTAATTTTTGATAAAACAAAAATATATTTAATATAGATATTTTTAAAGAAAATGTATTTATGATATTATATGTTAATTAATCTATAAATTTAATCAGGGATTACGCAAGAGGAAGTATGGTATTATAAAGTTATGTAATGTTTGCTAAATGTTTTTTTTATAAATATTTATACAGAAATTAGTTGATGCCATTGAAAGTCATCACTAAATTTTTATTGTACATTAATGTGCAGTAAATTAAATAATTCATAAATATAAAAACTTTTACTTGAATATTATTAAATATCAATTAATATTATATGCTAAAAATTTTAATAATACATATATTTTAATTAATTTATAAATTATAAATACAAGTTATTGTTAGAAATAATTTATTTTTACATTATAATTATATATATAAATTTTATGTTTATAAATGTTAAAATAATAAAATTACCAAACTCAGCATTTCCTATAATTAAAATTATGGTTTTATAATATTTTTAATGACATTGAAATAAAAGTATAAAAATCAAATTAAATAACTAAAGTAAAATAATGTAATAAATAAATTAAACAAATTTTTTTTATAATGTTTAAATTTAATATTATTAATTTTGATTTTATATCAATAATATTATTAATAATAATTTCAATCAATAATGTTTACACCGATAAAAGCTTACAACTTGTATGGAGTGATGAATTCAATGATCAATATATTAATCAACAAAAATGGCAATTAATTAATAAATGGAACTCAAATAATGGAAAATGTTCAGGTACATTTTTTGTGTTTTAGTATATATATTATTATATAATTAACTTATAAATATTTAATAGAAACAAAATTGTAATAAATTAAAATATATATTAAAATAAAAAGGCAGTAAACATGAATTGAGTTGTGAATCAAGTGATAATATTCAGATTATTAACGGATGTTTAATAGCATCAGTTAAATATGTGGGCAATGATTATGACTATCCGATAGACAAAAATTATACCTCGAGTTTGTTGTTTCCGTGGCAAAGATGGACATACGGTACGTTTGAGATGAGAGCAGCCCTTTGTTGTGTTATCAATCCATTGATAAACTCTCATATAATCTACAATAAGTGCCGAACAATTCCACTCTTTATATATATGATTATGGAAAGCACCGGCAGTTATGGTATTTTTGACTACAATTCCAAAATAAAAAGGTTTATCAAATGGTTCGCCAAGTTTTTTGTAATGACCGGTACTTAATGTGCGGTTTAATGGAAACATAAACGTTTGGTTGTCATTAATAAACCACTTGAGCTCAGTCTCTGTCCAAACAAGTTTATAGTCATTAAACTTATAGACATTTGACTCAAACATATTTATATTTTCTATGATTTCTATAACAGGTTTTCCATAATGAAGTTTAGATGTAATTATTTGATCCGTTTGTTTGTAATTGATTAATGTTATTTGTCCACTAAGAGCCCACTCCAGAGCACTAACCGGACCCAAATAAATGCTAATATAAATGGATTGTCCCATTGGAAGGGCTGCTCTCATTTCAAACGTACCGTAAGTCCATCTTTTCGACGGAAACAACAAACTCGAGGTATAATTTTTGTCTATCGGATAGTCATAATCATTGCCCACATATTGAACAGACGCTACTAAACATCCGTTTATTATTTGAATATTATCAGTTGATTCACAACTTAAATCAAGGCTACCTTTTATTTTAATATAAATTTGTTTTTTACATTTAAAAAAATTAAATATTTTAATTTATATATGAATGTAAAATGTACCTGAACATTTTCCATTAATTGAGTTCCATTTATTAATTAATTGCCATTTTTGTTGATTAATATATTGATCATTGAATTCATCACTCCATACAAGTTGTAAGCTTTTATCGGTGTAAACATTATTGATTGAAAATAATATTGTTATTAATACTATAGAATTAATTATATTAATAAACATTATAAAATTTTATTTTAATGCAATTAATATTTTACTTTTATTAATTTTCTTTTTTATATTGTCATCTCAATGTCATTATGAATAATATTATGAAACCATAATTTTAATTATAGGAAATGCTAATTTTGGTAATTTTAATAATTACTACATTTATTATAATAAAAAAATAATATATAATATTAATTTAATAAAAAATAATAATGTTATTATTATTAATCTATTAAAATAGTAGGAATAAAATTGTTGATAATAATAACTTGGTAAAATAATAAAAATATAAATGTTATAATATCAATATTAACAATATATATATATATATATATATTGTTAACATTTATTAATAATATTATATAATTTATAATGGAAAATAGATATTTTTAAATCTTTTAGTTTTGAAACTTATATTTATTTGTAATCTCAATATACTGACGATTATTATCTGTTTTGTTGTCATTATTATCGTAAATGATTTTATTGTAATCCTCGTAAACTATATTATTATTAATAATAACATAACTATAGGACACGTGTATTAATTGTAATCATTATTATAGATTCAATTATATCATTGATTTTCATTTAAACGCTTTTGTTGTATATTCTGTTTGTGTGCACTAAAGATGTCGCAGAAAATAGAAAATTTCAATTTATTTTAATCAATGATATTATTCTTTATTCGTTTGAATAACTTATTAAAATTTATTCATCAATTTTTTCCGGTTATAACCATTTTTTCCTGTTATAAATAAAAATAAAGGGTTCGGACAAATCCAATCCCTAGTTTTATATTCCAAATTTCTCCTATTTTCCTGCTCTCTGGAAATTCCCAGAGAATCTATTTTCTGTTGTATTAAACTGTATTTTGAGTTTTATTGTTAAACAATATTGAACAACGAAATTGAGTTCAGTTTCAGTCCAAATAAGTTTATAGATATTAAATCTGTTAAATTTTGACTCCGATATATTCAATCGTATTGTATTATTAATAATATGCTTTTTATAAAAAAAAACTTGAGATACAATCATTTGATTGTAATCCATAAATATTATTTGTCTATAAGAGGCCACTCTCTGGGGGCTCTATCACACAAATAAGTACCGATTTTAATCGACTGTCCCATTAGAAGTGCTGCTCTGAGTTCAAACGTACCGTATGACCATCTTTGAGACGGAAACATCAAACTCGAGGTATAATTTTTGTTTATCGGATAGTCATAATCATTGCCCACATAGTTGACAGACATTACTAAACATCCGTCGATAAGTTGAATATTATCACGTGTTGGACAACTTATTTCATTTGAATTACCTTTTATTTTAATATAAATTATTTATTAAACTTTATTTTCTATTAAATAATATAATTATAATCCAAAATACCTGAACACATTCCAGTCGTTGAATTCCATTTACTATTTATTTGTCACAGTTTTTCATTAATATATTGATCATTGAATTCATCACTCCATACAAGTTGTAAGCATTTATCGGTGCAAACATTTTTGATTGAAATTATTATTATTTCAAATTAATTATATTAAATTTAAACATCATAAATATTTTACTAGACTAAAATAATTATTTACTACAAAATAATTGCTATTTTATATTTTTATATTAATATCATTAAAAAAAATATTAACACATATTTTTAAGAATAGGAAATAGCAATTTTGGTAATTATATTAATAATAGCTTTACATTTATCGACAATAAACATTGTATTCCTTAAAAGGGGATTATTTTTTTTAATAAATATTATTTTTACAATATATCTATTTTATAATCTTATATAAAAATTATTTTATTAAAGTAAATTCAATTGAACACTATTTAAAATTAATTAATTAATTAAAATTTAATTTTTTAGAATTTTTATTAGTAACATAATTGAATAATAAATACTTTTGATTTAATCAAATAATTAAAAAATATTAGATAATTATTAAGTTTAGTATATAAAATTAATTATGTAATTTTTGTTTGAAAACTACAATTTGCTTATTTTATTTTAAAAGTTCAATTTTCTATTTGAATAATTTAATGTAATAAAAATATACAGTGTCAAATAAAATTGTAAAATCGCTAAAGTATTAAAATATTAGCTAATTATATTTGCTTATAATCTTTAAAATAAAATAACACATAAATAATTTATTTTATATAAAGATTATATAATATTTTATTATTATAAATAAATATTAGTAAATGTCAAAAAACAATTAAATTATATTATAATTTTGAAACTGAAACTAATTAATTGTTAGTAATGTCAAAACTATATATCGAGATTAGTTAAAGCATATAATTTATAAGATATAGAGATATCATAAACTTATTGAAATATAAATGTATTGTTAAATACATAAATTTATGTTTAATATACTATACATTTGACATAATGCGAGTTTTTTCATATTACTGCTATTCATACTTTATATTGATTTGTAATCTCAATATACGAATGACTATATTCTGGTATTTTGTTTTGATAATCGTTGTTATTGTTATCGTCAATGATTTCATTGTATTGATCGTAAATTATATTATTATTAGTTACATATCTATAGGATTCGTATATATTGTAATCTTTATCATAGACTTCAATGTCATCGTAGGTTTCTTTTACTATATCTCTATTGATTTTCGTTAAACGCTTTTGTCGTAAACTCAGATAAACAACAATCATTACTAATATAATAAGCAAAATCAATGTAATTATGCTAACAATAACTATATTTGTCATCGATAAAGTAAAAGTAGACAATGGATCAGTTGGATTGTGTTGTCCCCCTATAGTAGACATAATATCATTACATATGAGATGACTTGAAATCTGTTTGTGTTTGTCATTATCGACATTATTATCGACAAAATTGTCGACCCATTCATAAATCTTTACGTAATCAATGAGAAGTGCGGAACAATTCCACAAATTGTAATCATTTAATGTCAGCGATTGATCGCCAAATACCGTTCCGCCGACTGTTAACTCAATATAAAGATTATACGGCACATCAAAAGGTTGATGTTTTTTATTATAATTACTGGACAACCGTTTATTGATATCAATAACATTATGAGTTTTGTCATCAAAAAACCATTCAATTTTTGTTTCACTCCATTCAATGGCATACTTATGAAACCCATGGATATCGACATCCGGTTTATAGATTGCTCTTTCATATGGCTTATAAAGAGTTGGATTTTGACTGTATTTGATATAATTGTAAATTAATTTACCTTGTTCATATATAAATAAATTAATTGTTTCACCAGTTGATTGTTTATTATCGTTTTGCAAATAAACAGCGACCCGTAATAACTTTCCCAAAGGTAGGGCTGCATTGATCTCAAACCTCCCGTATTTCCATTTTTCTAATAATTTGATTTTTGCTGTTTTCAAATGATATGTTTTATTGAATTCTGTATTTCCAGTGTTTGCAGTGATAGCCAATACATTGTTTCTTATTTGTATAGTTTGTGTATCATTTGAATAACAACTTTGACTATGGTTTACATTGTCTGTATAATATATTAATAAATATATTTAAAATTTATTTATTTTATATCAATTATTATAGATAAAAGTAAAAAATTATTTTCAAATACCGTCACATTTATAGTGATCCCAAGTATTAAATGCAAACCAATTATTAGCATTCAATTTATTGCCAGTAAATTCTTCGCTAAAAATAAGTTTTAAATATTTTTGAGACTTTTCCTCATCAATCATATTAGACATTAAACTCTGGCATATATTAGAAATAACACTATTGTCTGTATTGTTGGGCAATGGCTTATTAATAATATTTGTTGTGTTATCAATCCATTGATAAACTCTCATATAATCTACAATAAGTGCCGAACAATTCCACTCTTTATATATATGATTATGGAAAGCACCGGCAGTTATGGTATTTTTGACTACAATTCCAAAATAAAAAGGTTTATCAAATGGTTCGCCAAGTTTTTTGTAATGACCGGTACTTAATGTGCGGTTAAACTCGTTTAATTTCTGATAATACAAGTGCTTCGACTCTGGTATTAGTTAGTCGGGCACCGGTAGAACTATCTATAAGATTCTGCTCGATAATTATGACCCGGTTCTTAGCCAGTGCTATACGGGCTGACATAATAACTGACATTTCTGAAATCTTTTTTAAAAATAATTATATATAGATTATGAGTTATCATAATTATAAGCTTTGATAAACATAAAAAATATTACTAAACTTGTTTTGATGGAGCACCGGTATGTATCTTATAGAGTAATACTCGATGGCGATAATTGTACAGTACGTCCAACATTGAACCGGATATATAATCCACACCAATGACAGTCTGATCCTTAATGGTATTGCTTGTGATAATCGCTTGCCATTGCTGTTGATCAGCACCGGTATCATCCATACTATTTGTTGACTTTCTTTTATGATGTGCTACATATTGACGATTGAGAGCAGCCAACAGTTTACTAGTGGCACACATATAGTTGTTTGAACAGATATTCAATGCATAATCTATTGTCTGCACCGTTAGTTCACGTATAGTGTCATTTAACTCGCACCGTATAATCTCAATGGATGGCCTAATAAGTAGGACATATGATATAAAATTTCTAATATTAATAATATCTGATGTTTACAAACATACCTACTGTCCAATACATATCGTTCCTCATTATTATTATCAATACTATCGGTATTTGCTGATACTGTTTGATATTCAGCTATAGTTGACTGAAGGTGATAATCGTAGTCGTTGTCCGGTAGTTCAAAATTAATGTTCGGGTCATATGTATATCGGGTACGGTTAGTGGCCAACAACATGACCTCCATGTTTTCGATGGTTACAATAATATAGGCGACAAAATGTGACAGTTGTATGTCGTACGACTCGATGGTACCGACAACACACAGCCAGTATTGGCCGGTAGCCCGGGTCAGGTCGGCGCCTACTTTGGCGCTTATCCCGTGATAGTACTCTTGTTCTTCGATGGCACCAATAGAGTAGACCACTGCCAACTCTATCAGCGGCTCCGTTACTTTTTACCCAATGACCAGCGATGAAATGTTTTTCACTGATCGGAAAGACCACCGGTTCATAGGTTTTCCACCCGAACGACGACTCAGTTGATTGACTTAAATTTTGAATTTATTGATAAATACTTGTAGTCCAATACAATACGTGTTATGTTTGGACACTTCTTGACGATAGCCTCAAACAGATGGACATCTCTGTTGAGTTTCTTTAGTCCAAAATTTTCCACCAGTTTATCATCAAATCGTAAATCTGTTTGTGTGTCAAACAAAACTCGACGAAACTGACGACTGAGAAATTGATGGCGAAATTTGGCATCAATTGGCAGATAAGACAGTATTAGTTGAGCCAAATCATCACCGAATCGGCTAAACGATTGTCTGGACATTAATTGATTACTAGTTATTGTTGAACTCATAATTAAGTATTAGTTGTTTTAATAGTTAATAAAAATTAATTTTTAAAAAACTATATATAATAAAAACTTATATTTGTTAAAAATAAATAAATAAAAATTATTAATAATTAATATTAATATTAATAAGACAATAACATGCCGTTTGATTTGATTTTATAAAATAACTGATAATATATAATATAAATAATAAATAATAAAATAAAACTGGTTTTTATAAATTAAATACCGTATATCATATGTCAAGTTTAAAAACAATGTAATGGTATATTAATATGTATTTTTAGTGTATGTATTAATAATAATAATAATAATAGGATTATTGATATACATGTATTATTAAAGATTTTAAGTTATTTACATACTGTTGAACGTGTAATGTAGATCATGTTGAGTTTTTATAAAAACAAAATTATAATTTTATATGTTAAATAAAATAATAAATAAACAAATTAATCAACTAAATAAGTTAATATAATTAAATTATTGCTATAATTATTATATTTTTTAATTGAAGTTTTTTTATGTCTAATTTTTATAAAATATTATCTTTTTTAGCACAGACTGTACTGATTAATTATTTATTTACGAATTTTAAATATAATATAATTTAATTAAAATGATAATCTATTTATTTCTTTAAAAATTTTAAATAATTTTTAATTAATTCCAATTATCATTGTTTAGCATAAAATAATACTTCAAATAATATTTCAAATACAATATATCTTTATTATAAGAACCCAAATAAAAATCCAAAATATAATCTAAAATATATAATAATTAAGACATTATGTATTACTTATGTAATACTGTATTAATAATGTCATAAATTTTATATATAATATTAATAGCCGTTTATTAGAGAGGGTGTGTGTGTCGCCTGAATTTGTTTAGCCGAGTGTCTGTTTGTCGAACAGGTACTCTCCGAGTCCGGTGCCGACACGTTTCAAATTAGTAATATGATCGCCCAGTTTCTTGATATCATCTACCTGTTCGTGCAGGAACTCCGACTCAATAAAATCGGTAAACTCCGGATCATTATTACGGGCGCCGATAGCTTGCAAGTCCAACAGTGCCTGATTGACTGTCTTCTCCAAATCAAGTGAAGCCTCGATGGCCGACTGCGGTGTCCAGCCATCCTGTTTAACAGGTTTGGCTATATCCTTGAGCACAATACGACCGCCCCGTTTGTTTTGGTAGTCCATAAACTTGCGGGCGTGATCCCGTTCCTCAATGGCCCGCGACTTGAAAAATGAATGAAAACCTTCCAGTGCTATGTCATCGCGATTGAAATACCAGGCCTACATGTATGAAGTAATTGGACGATAATTTTTTTATGAATACTAAATTTAGATATTGTGGGCTTATGTATACACTATTCAGCTAACATACCAGTGACTCGTACACATAGCTGGCATGTAGTTCCAGATTGATTTGCTTGTTAATGCCGGCTTCGGTATCATGATGGAAATTTTGGCGTACCTGGCTCACTTTGCTAGACATTGTTGTTTGCTAAATTTTGTTGTTGTTCAAAATTGATCCCAAAAAAAATCTAATTATTTAATATATTAATTTAAAATACAGTTATAAAAATTTTAGTAATTAGTTTAAGTTATTCAATAAATTAATTTACCGTATATTATATAAAACAATTTAATAATAGTTTTTTTTATAAATGTGATGTCCGTTCAAACACTGTTGACGCTAAACATCAAAAGCTGTGAATGACTTTCTAACTGTTAATAACTATCTTTTTATATAATTTTTTATGTTGTCTAAAATAGACAATTAATTAATTGTATAACAATATTATTGATAATAATTGCATTTTAATCTGATATTAATGTCAACAAGTATCATATGTTGCAAATTACATATACATATCACTGATAATTAGTTAATTGATTTACAGGTAATACAATACGAGTCTAAACTATATCTTTAATTGAGTACTTATTATTATAATAATTTATTACTATATCATCTTCAATTGGCTCAGGTAGTTATAATTGACAGTATTGCAGTGCAATGTTAATTTTAATATTGCAGACTCCAAACATAATTTACAAAATAGTAAACAAGTTGTCCAAGCTAACTTATCCTATCTTGATCATATTTTGCAATAAACATAAATACTTAAAAATTATTTAACAAAAATTATACTAGTATCTATGCTGCTTTAATATTTGTAGGAATACTAATTTAATTGAAAAATAAATTATTTTTTAATTTTACAAAAATTAATTATCTAATAATAATTGTATCAATTTGAGTGAGTATTGGAAATAAATCAAATCAAATAAATTAATATTATTATAAATTATTTAATGAACATTTTTATAAACTTTAAAATTTTAAATATTAATACATGTCATAGAAATTATAATAAAAAGCTAACTTAATATAAAATACTTAAATTAAAATTAAAAAAAAATGATTAAAAAAAATGATTATAATAAAATTGCATTTAATTAAAAAATAAAAATAAATTTTTTAAAATTTATTTTTTTTAAATTTATTAATTTGTAAATATTAATTTATTACATTAGAAATTTAATTAAATTTTACAATACATTGTTAATATTTAGATTATAACGTTATTGATTGTATGAATACTACAAAATTTTATATATTTGACTTACAAGTTAGTAAAAACTGCTTAATTATATTCAAAACCAAAACAATAGTAGGCGCACCACAAGCATATAGATTTATCATAGATTACACTAAATATATACATACAAATAAAATAATATGTATAATAAGTATGTAAAAATAGTCTATGCTTTGTAAAAACTTCGCCCCTATAGGGCTCATAAGCATTAAACACTAATATTGCGCACATATACATACACTACTGTGTTAGTGGGCGGCCATTGTTGTTTTGGTTTTGAATATAATCAAACAGTTTTTTATTAAAGTATATGTTTGAATATTAATAAAGGCGCTTAAAAATACTGTACATTGACAATTAATAATATACACAATAATTATATTAATGTTATTATACAATATATATATATTTATGCTATTTTAATGCTATTTCATAGTTATATATATATATATATATATATAGTAATAATAATTAATACTTTTATTCGTTTAGTAATTGGTATAGTTTTTTAATTGTAGATAAATCTAATTTATTAATTAAATTAATTTAATTTATTTACACATAATATATGAATACTAGTCTTACTTATTATTATTTTTAGTATAATATACAAATTTATGAATTGGTACTTTTAATTACTATAATTTATTATTTATTATCACATATGTTATAACTTTATAAAGGGTACTAAAATTACATATTGATTTACACAATGTTTTCAATATGACAATGTTATGGTTTGCTAATACATGTATGCAATGCTTTAAGTGTGTAATACTATGGAGATGTGGCTTATAATGAAACATAACTATTATATGCGTTAAATTAAATTATATGTATATATCATATTAAATCTATGGTTGATATATGTTTTTATGTTATACATACAAAAAAAACTGGTAAATATCATTCAAATATATATTATACAATGCAATGTGTGTTTGTTATTACAATATTTACTATTATTTTTTCAATATTATTACAGTATTTTTTATTTAAAAAAACATTTAGATATTTATCATATATGTATTGATTAGGGCCGGGGGTGGGAATGGGTTGATATAATGGTTGTCCATAAATGTAATTTGTGTCGAAGTAATCGATTGTTTTCCTATAGACGACACCTAATCAAACACAACTGGGAAGTACACTATCAGTGCAATTGGTGTCAGAGACAGTTCAACAGTTTATCGGGTCTTGAAATACATTTCAATGTTGTTCACGGAGGACACGCCAGTGGTCAACATAAATGTAATTATGAAAAGTGTGGCAAAAGTTTTAAAAAATTGAAACATTTAAGACAGCATATGACAGCTGATCATTATAGTGATGATGACGATGATGATGATGATGATGATAATGTTGTTGATGGTGATGATAGTCAATCACCATCAGTACAATCACTGCAACCATCACCACCAATAGCACCGTTATCTCCCACAAGCTGTCGATTTTGTTTAGTACGGATGGGAAGCAAAAAGAAACTGAAGAAACATGAACGACAAGCCCATCACTGGTGCAAAGTATGCGGTGACACGTTTGCCGACAGCCAGTCACTGGCCCGACATCAGGATCCGCATCATATGCGTAATCAACACAAACGTAAACGAAAAGATCCCCGTACGAGATTAGCCGTGTTGGCCAATGATAATATTGTACTACAACAGCAAGAGATGTCCTACACATGTGGCGCTCCGGGATGTGGCCAACAGTTCAGGCAAAAAGTTGACTTTTATCGACACAAATACAGTATTCATATTAAATTTATTTGTAATTTTGGCGATTGTGACCAACAATTTCCGACACACAATGAAATGATTGTTCATAAAACTGTTGAACACTACAAATTTAAATGTGATTATATCGGCTGTACCGATGGTTTTGGTGATCAGTCAGCGCTCGAGTATCACAAACGTGATAAACATAACTTCGAAAAATGTGATTATTTTGGTTGCAATATGTGGTTCAAAACGGAGACTGATTTGTCTCATCACATGAACAGTCATTACGGCGACAATTGTTATGAATTGCTGGTCGAGTCATACATTCAAAAGGGGCCGTAGTTTTGAAGTTTTTTTTCTTCACAAAATTGTTGTTAAAATTAATTGAAAAATAATATAAATTTTTTATGTGTCAAATTATATAATTTTTTTAAAACAATAAAATAATTTATTAACTAATCAAAAAAAAGTATTAACGAATTTTTATAATAAAGTAAAAATATGGAAATATATATTACAATAAAATCTTTGATATTTTCAATGAATGTTATATTTTTAGGGCAATAATTTTATTTATCTTATATTTTTTTAAAAATTCTAATTTATATAATTTTTTATATATAAAACAAATATAGAAACTATTTTTTAAAGTTTAATATTCAGGAATTTAAATTTATTAATTTAATTAATAGATTACAATGTATTGTTTTTAGAAAGAATTTTTAAAAAATAATTAAAACAGTTATATAATTAATAATAAATCCTGAATTTTGATTATAATCCTGAATTAATTTAAAGCAGTTAAATAGTACAAAATAATTAATTATAACATATTTTATTATTCATCAAAATTAAACATGTATTTAATACTGTATTTAGTACTTTAAAATATTGTAAATCTATTAACTTAAAAGCAATTAATGAAAATTAATTTGTAATAATATTGTTTTTTTAATATAAATAAGTTTTGATAGTAATATTATAAATCACTTACAGTAATTTAATTTTATACATTTTATTAACAATGTTATTTGAAACATTTTTTTTGTACTATATTTATTTAAATAGTTTTTATTTCCTAAATTATATTTAATATTTTTATTATAATTTCTGAATTGTTATGACCTGGATCTTTTTTTTATAACAGTTTTATATTAAATCAATTAAAACAATTTAATTAATTTAATTATATACAGTACTTGTTCACAGTTTCAAACAGATTTTTGATAAATTTTAAAACAAAAACTTATAAAACATTTCCCATTAAATTCAATGGATTTTTTAAACGTTATTTATGATATCTATTGTTATTTTTTTTATTGTTGAGCCAATGGTTTTCATTGGATTTCAATGTTACTGTTAGTCAATAATTTTTATTGTCATTAAAAAATGAAAAATTATTTAATTAATGTGTGATTATTATTGTTGCAAAAAAAAGTGGAAAATTTACCGACAATTTCTAGCTAACAGATACCTCGTGTGGTTATCACTGGACACACACACACACACACATACCTAAGCCATTAGCACCGGTAATATATCATATATTAGTGATTAACCTTAAAATCTAATTAATAATTATAACCTATTTTTTATTTTTTTTTTAATTTATTTTGTTTTGTGCTGTGAATGGCCAACAATTGTGTGGTTGGTTTGGACTAAATCTAGCGATCATATAGTTTAGTTGAATGAGTTGTTTGGATTAAACCTAAAGATGAAATGATTAAAAAAAAGATGGATAAGCCATAGTCATCCATCCATTCATACGGTCTACTACTTAATAGTGGTAAATGAAGAGATCAATTAAATTTGTGACAACAGTTGTAATTATAATGAAAGTAAAAATTGTGACTTTTTTTGACTCATTATAATAGTCTTAGTTTTTTTTTAAACAACAATCACAAGAAACAAGTAAATTGAACATTGAATACAACAACACCACCATTGGCCTCAACACATGTCGGCGCCAACACTTAACGGCTCCAATGTTAGCAAACAGTCGGTTGTAATGTCCGGTCTATTTGATTGTCAGGACTGTAACATTGGTTTCTCGTCGTTGGCTTCGGTTACTAATCACCGAAAGTCTGTTCATATTGGCGGCCAATTCAAATGTACATACAGTGGATGTAATATTATTTACATTACAGATAGACAATTGAAGAAACATATAAAAGTGAAACATAAAGACACTGTTGGTACTAATGGGACATCACCGCAGTCGCAGATTCACTGCAATTACTGTGGAAAACATTTCAGAACTCGGGATAAACTTTTAAATCATCTTCAAGTGATTCACTATTATTGTCAAAAATGTTGTTTCCGTTTCAAAAGTAAGCATTTATTAGACAAACATAAAAGCAGCGGTCATTTGACAAAGCCGTCCGCTATGGTGTCGCTGAAGGGTATCGATGAATACATTTGCCACATATGTAAACAATGTTTCAAAAAACAAAAACAATTGAAAACTCATCAAAATCTTAAGCATACCGTTGAGATTATTACTAATGATAATGAAAATAGTAATTTAACGAATCAATTGACCTCATCATTAACTACTGGTACCAGTGATCAAAGTGAATCAGATGAACAATTGCTAATTAGACAGACCATCAATAGGATTAACCAAAGTGTACGGGGATGTGGCAGTTGTCAAATGTTTTATATATATAAGATTTTTTCGGCACATATGCGAAATGATCATCAAATCGGTTCGTTTGCACCGTACATATGCTATTGGGAGGGTTGCTATCAATCATATCAGACGGACATTGAGTTGAATAAACACCGGAAGACACATCCCAACAATGGCTGTAATAGATTTGAGTGTCAAATCGGTAGATGTGGTCATGTATTGGCTACACATACCGAACTAGTCAAACATATGAGAGCCAATCATTCAATGTTTATTAGCTATATTTGCAACTATTGTCCGGAAATGACGATGAGATGTCCGTTAATAGAGCGTCATATGACTGTACATCACCTTAAGTTTCCGTGTCCTCAAAGAGGTTGTGAAAAAAAGTTTACCACTGAAGAGGGTCTCATTCATCACACTGTTCTCGACCATCTGAATTCGTACGCCAGTTATCGTAGAGACAGAGATATGCAGTTGAAAATACCGGCACCGGTACATCTGGTAGAAGTGCCAGAAACTAATAACAACAGTTCAGTACAAATGGCACCGGAAATTGAATTTTGCTGTCATTTTGATGATTGCGGACAATATTTTGGTGATATGAATGAGTTGTCTAAACATTATTGTGAAGATCATTATAATCCTTCAATTACTAGTAATATAAATAATAATACAATTACTACTATTACTAGTAATTCACTGCCAATACCTCAATCAGTGCCTTCTCGAGATCCCCGTTCAAGACCTGCCATATTGGCCAAAGATATTGTACTACAACAGCAAGAGATGTGCTTCAGATGTGACGCTCCGGGATGTGGCCAACAGTTCAGGCAAAAAGTTGACTTTTATCGACACAAATACAGAATAGTTTTGATGGCATCCGATCTGATCTGTTGTGTGGAAGCGGTGTTCAGTAGTTGGACTTCATTGTCGTCCTTAAAGATTTGGAGTAAACCCTTGATATAAGTATCATAAAACTGTTTATAACACGTGAGTCCGGCATTGTTGGCAATTTCAGTCCTTTTCTTAACCAATTGCTGTCCGATATCCAGATCTTCTTGAGTCATATCAAACAGTTGTTTATCTGACTTTCCAATGAGCACCTGATCTGCATTTTTCAGGCATTGGATCTGACTTTTTCTATCCTCATTACAGAAAACTATTTAATCAAATTAATAATATAAAAAGTTTAAATAAAAATTATTAAATATTTTATAATATTAATATCTATTTTATTGATTTTTACGTACCAATAGTCGTATAGGCAAACAAAAAGATTATATTTTTATAGGAATTCATTGTTTATTACTTGTAATAATTTTAATTTTAAAGATTTTATTATTATTTAGTAATAAAATATATTTTTATGAATGAATTACAAATATTGTAAACTTATATTTATATACTTTCATTGATAAAAATTTAAACCGTATAATAAAATATGTTATAATTAATTATTTTGTACTATTCAAATACATTAAAATTAATAATTAAATAAAATACATGTTTTATTATTAACTTATTATTATTTTTATTATTTAATCTGAATTCTATTGAAGTAAATTACTTATTAATTACTAAGCACTCATTGAAGTCGAAAATAATTAATTATATAAAATAATTATAATTAAAATAGAATATTAAATATATAATGTTTAATTTTGATAAATAATAAAACATGTAATAATTAATTATTTTGTACTATTTTAATGCTTTAAATTAGTAATTAATCAAAATTCAGAATTTATTATTAATTATATAACTATTGAATTTTTTTAAAAAATTATTCTTTCTAAAAACAATACATTGTAGTCTATTAATTAAATTAATAAATTTAAATTCCTGAATATTAAACTTTAAAAAAAATTGGTTATAAATTTGTATTCTATAAAAAAAATAATATAAATTAGAATTTAAAAAATACAGGTAAAAAAATATAAGATTTATTGATAATATCAAAGATTTTATTAATATATATTTCCATATTCTTACTTTATTATAAAAATTCATTAATACTTTTTTGATTAGTTACTAAATTTATTATTTTATTGTATTAAAAAATTTGTAATTTGACACATAAAAAATTTACAGTATTAAAGGATTTTTCAATTAATTTTAACAACAATTTTGTGACCAAAAAAAAAACTTCAAAACTATGACCCCTTTTGAATGTATGTCTCGACCAACAATTCATAACAATTGTCGCCGTAATGACTGTTCATATGATGCGATAAATCGATCTCCGTTTTGAACCACAGATTGCAACCAAAATAATCACATTTTTGGGTGCTATGTTTATCACGTTTGTGACACTCGAGCGCTGACTGATCACCAAAACCATCGGTACAGCCGAAATAATCACATTTAAATTTGTAGTGTTCAACAGTTTTATGAACAATCATTTCATTATGTGTCGGAAATTGTTGGTCACAATCGCCAAAATCACAAATAAACTTAATATGAACACTGTATTTGTGTCGATAAAAGTCAACTTTTTGCCTGAACTGTTGGCCACATCCCGGAGCGTCACATCTGAAGCACATCTCTTGCTGTTGTAGTACAATATCTTTGGCCAATATGGCAGGTCTTGAACGGGGATCTCGAGAAGGCACTGATTGAGGTATTGGCAGTGAATTACTAGTAATAGTAGTAATTGTATTATTATTTATATTACTAGTAATTGAAGGATTATAATGATCTTCACAATAATGTTTAGACAACTCATTCATATCACCAAAATATTGTCCGCAATCATCAAAATGACAGCAAAATTCAATTTCCGGTGCCATTTGTACTGAACTGTTGTTATTAGTTTCTGGCACTTCTACCAGATGTACCGGTGCCGGTATTTTCAACTGCATATCTCTGTCTCTACGATAACTGGCGTACGAATTCAGATGGTCGAGAACAGTGTGATGAATGAGACCCTCTTCAGTGGTAAACTTTTTTCACAACCTCTTTGAGGACACGGAAACTTAAGGTGATGTACAGTCATATGACGCTCTATTAACGGACATCTCATCGTCATTTCCGGACAATAGTTGCAAATATAGCTAATAAACATTGAATGATTGGCTCTCATATGTTTGACTAGTTCGGTATGTGTAGCCAATACATGACCACATCTACCGATTTGACACTCAAATCTATTACAGCCATTGTTGGGATGTGTCTTCCGGTGTTTATTCAACTCAATGTCCGTCTGATATGATTGATAGCAACCCTCCCAATAGCATATGTACGGTGCAAACGAACCGATTTGATGATCATTTCGCATATGTGCCGAAAAAATCTTATATATATAAAACATTTGACAACTGCCACATCCCCGTACACTTTGGTTAATCCTATTGATGGTCTGTCTAATTAGCAATTGTTCATCTGATTCACTTTGATCACTGGTACCAGTAGTTAATGATGAGGTCAATTGATTCGTTAAATTACTATTTTCATTATCATTAGTAATAATCTCAACGGTATGCTTAAGATTTTGATGAGTTTTCAATTGTTTTTGTTTTTTGAAACATTGTTTACATATGTGGCAAATGTATTCATCGATACCCTTCAGCGACACCATAGCGGACGGCTTTGTCAAATGACCGCTGCTTTTATGTTTGTCTAATAAATGCTTACTTTTGAAACGGAAACAACATTTTTGACAATAATAGTGAATCACTTGAAGATGATTTAAAAGTTTATCCCGAGTTCTGAAATGTTTTCCACAGTAATTGCAGTGAATCTGCGACTGCGGTGATGTCCCATTAGTACCAACAGTGTCTTTATGTTTCACTTTTATATGTTTCTTCAATTGTCTATCTGTAATGTAAATAATATTACATCCACTGTATGTACATTTGAATTGGCCGCCAATATGAACAGACTTTCGGTGATTAGTAACCGAAGCCAACGACGAGAAACCAATGTTACAGTCCTGACAATCAAATAGACCGGACATTACAACCGACTGTTTGCTAACATTGGAGCCGTTAAGTGTTGGCGCCGACATGTGTTGAGGCCAATGGTGGTGTTGTTGTATTCAATGTTCAATTTACTTGTTTCTTGTGATTGTTGTTTAAAAAAAAACTAAGACTATTATAATGAGTCAAAAAAAGTCACAATTTTTACTTTCATTATAATTACAACTGTTGTCACAAATTTAATTGATCTCTTCATTTACCACTATTAAGTAGTAGACCGTATGAATGGATGGATGACTATGGCTTATCCATCTTTTTTTTAATCATTTCATCTTTAGGTTGTCCTAATCCAAACAACTCATTCAACTAAACTATATGATCGCTAGATTTAGTCCAAACCAACCACACAATTGTTGGCCATTCACAGCACAAAACAAAATAAATTAAAAAAAAAATAAAAAATAGGTTATAATTATTAATTAGATTTTAAGGTTAATCACTAATATATGATATATTACCGGTGCTAATGGCTTAGGTATGTGTGTGTGTGTGTGTGTCCAGTGATAACCACACGAGGTATCTGTTAGCTAGAAATTGTCGGTAAATTTTCCACTTAAATGACAAACAAAAATATTAATTTTTTTACAACAATAATAATCACACATTAATTAAATAATTTTTCATTTTTTTAATGACAAAAAAAATTATTGACTAACAATAACATTGAAATCCAATGAAAACCATTGGCTCAACAATAAAAAAAATAACAATAGATATCATAAATAACGTTAAAAAAATCCATTGAATTTAAAAGGGAAATGTTTTATAAGTTTTTAATGTTTTAAATTTATCAAAAATCTGTTTGAAACTGTGAAACAAATATCTGATTAAATTAAATTGTTTTAATTGATTTATTATAAAACAGTTATAAAAAAAGATCCAGGTCATAACAATTCAGAAATTATAATAAAAATATTAAATATAATTTAGGAAATATAAACTATTTAAATAAATATACTACAAAAAAATGTTTCAAATAACATTGTTAATAAAATCTATAAAATTAAATTACTGTAAATGATTTATAATATTACTATCAAAATTTATTTATATTAAATTTAACATTCAATTTATATATAAAAAACAATATTGTTACAAATTAATTTTCATTAATACTCATTGCTTTTAAGTTAATACAATATATATAACATTTTTTTTAATAAATAGATTTACAATATTTTACAGTACTAAATACTGTATTAAATACATGTTTAATTTTGATAAATAATAAAAATTGTTATAATTAATTATTTTGTACTATTTTAAAGCTTTAAATTAATTCAGGATATAATCAAAATTCAGGATTTATTATTATAATTATATAACTATTGAAATTTTTTTTAAAATTTATTCTTTCTAAAAACAATACATTGATTAATTAAATTAATAAATTTAAATTCCTGAATATTAAACTTTAAAAAATAGTTTCTATATTTGTTTTATATATAAAAAATTATATAAATTAGAATTTTTAAAAAAATATAAGATAAATAAAATTATTGCCCTAAAAATATAACATTCATTGAAAATATCAAAGATTTTATTGTAATATATATTTCCATATTTTTACTTTATTATAAAAATTCGTTAATACTTTTTTTTGATTAGTTAATAAATTATTTTATTGTTTTAAAAAAATTATATAATTTGACACATAAAAAATTTATATTATTTTTCAATTAATTTTAACAACAATTTTGTGAAGAAAAAAAACTTCAAAACTACGGCCCCTTTTGAATGTATGACTCGACCAGCAATTCATAACAATTGTCGCCGTAATGACTGTTCATGTGATGAGACAAATCAGTCTCCGTTTTGAACCACATATTGCAACCAAAATAATCACATTTTTCGAAGTTATGTTTATCACGTTTGTGATACTCGAGCGCTGACTGATCACCAAAACCATCGGTACAGCCGATATAATCACATTTAAATTTGTAGTGTTCAACAGTTTTATGAACAATCATTTCATTGTGTGTCGGAAATTGTTGGTCACAATCGCCAAAATTACAAATAAATTTAATATGAATACTGTATTTGTGTCGATAAAAGTCAACTTTTTGCCTGAACTGTTGGCCACATCCCGGAGCGCCACATGTGTAGGACATCTCTTGCTGTTGTAGTACAATATTATCATTGGCCAACACGGCTAATCTCGTACGGGGATCTTTTCGTTTACGTTTGTGTTGATTACGCATATGATGCGGATCCTGATGTCGGGCCAGTGACTGGCTGTCGGCAAACGTGTCACCGCATACTTTGCACCAGTGATGGGCTTGTCGTTCATGTTTCTTCAGTTTCTTTTTGCTTCCCATCCGTACTAAACAAAATCGACAGCTTGTGGGAGATAACGGTGCTATTGGTGGTGATGGTTGCAGTGATTGTACTGATGGTGATTGACTATCATCACCATCAACAACATTATCATCATCATCATCATCATCGTCATCATCACTATAATGATCAGCTGTCATATGCTGTCTTAAATGTTTCAATTTTTTAAAACTTTTGCCACACTTTTCATAATTACATTTATGTTGACCACTGGCGTGTCCTCCGTGAACAACATTGAAATGTATTTCAAGACCCGATAAACTGTTGAACTGTCTCTGACACCAATTGCACTGATAGTGTACTTCCCAGTTGTGTTTGATTAGGTGTCGTCTATAGGAAAACAATCGATTACTTCGACACAAATTACATTTATGGACAACCATTATATCAACCCATTCCCACCCCCGGCCCTAATCAATACATATATGATAAATATCTAAATGTTTTTTTAAATAAAAAATACTGTAATAATATTGAAAAAATAATAGTAAATATTGTAATAACAAACACACATTGCATTGTATAATATATATTTGAATGATATTTACCAGTTTTTTTTGTATGTATAACATAAAAACATATATCAACCATAGATTTAATATGATATATACATATAATTTAATTTAACGCATATAATAGTTATGTTTCATTATAAGCCACATCTCCATAGTATTACACACTTAAAGCATTGCATACATGTATTAGCAAACCATAACATTGTCATATTGAAAACATTGTGTAAATCAATATGTAATTTTAGTACCCTTTATAAAGTTATAACATATGTGATAATAAATAATAAATTATAGTAATTAAAAGTACCAATTCATAAATTTGTATATTATACTAAAAATAATAATAAGTAAGACTAGTATTCATATATTATGTGTAAATAAATTAAATTAATTTAATTAATAAATTAGATTTATCTACAATTAAAAAACTATACCAATTACTAAACGAATAAAAGTATTAATTATTATTACTATATATATATATATATATATATAACTATGAAATAGCATTAAAATAGCATAAATATATATATATATATATAATAACATTAATATAATTATTGTGTATATTATTAATTGTCAATGTACAGTATTTTTAAGCGCCTTTATTAATATTCAAACATATACTTTAATAAAAAACTGTTTGATTATATTCAAAACCAAAACAATGAATGGCCGCCCACTAACACAGTAGTGTATGTATATGTGCGCAATATTAGTGTTTAATGCTTATGAGCCATACTGACTATAGGGGCCTGAAGTTTTTACAAAGCATAGACTATTTTTACATACTTATTATACATATTATTTTTGATGCCATTATAATATTTAAAGTTTTGATTTCACGAAAATACTTTTTGTATATTTATAATTAATGCAATTTTATTTATTGACTTATAAACTTTGATATCAAATTTGTTTATTTAAGTTAAAAAATAAAAAAGTTATTAAAGTGTAATATGAAATAGCATTAAAATAGCATAAATATATATATATATATATATATATATAATATTATTATATATTGTATAATAACTATGATAAATCTATATGCTATATTATAAAAACAATATTTTATAAATTAATTAATAATATAAAATTAAAATAATAGGTGTCACCACCTGGTGCGCCTACTATTGTTTTGGTTTTGAATATAATCAAACAGTTTTTACTAACTTGTAAGTCAAATATATAAAATTTAGTAGTATTCATACAATCAATAACGTTATAATCTAAATATTAACAATGTATTGTAAAATTTAATTAAATTACTATTGTAATAAATTGATATTTACAAATTAATAAATTTAAAAAAAATATTTTTAATTTTTAATTAAATGCAATTTTATGTATAATCATTTTTTTAATTAATTTTTTTAAATTTTAATTTAAGTATTTTATATTAAGTTAGCTTTTTATTATAATTTCTATGACATGTATTAATATTTAAAATTTAAAGTTTATAAAACTGCTCATTAAATAATTTATAATAATATTAATTTATTTGATTTATTTCCAATACTCACTCAAATTGTTACAATTATTATTAGATAATTAATTTTTGTAAAATTAAAAAATAATTTATTTTTCAATTAAATTATTATTACTATAAATATTAAAGCAGCTTAGAATCTATGCCATAGATACTCATATGATTTTTGTTAAATAAATTTTAAGTATTTATGTTTATTGCAATATATGATCAAGATAGGATAAGTTAGCTTGGACAACTTGTTGACTATTTTGAAAATTATGTTTGGAGTCTGCAATATTAAAATTAACATTGCACTGCAATACTGTCAATTATAACTACCTGAGCCAATTGAAGATGATATAGTAATAAATTATTATAATAACAAGTACTCAATTAAAGATATAGTTTAGACTCATATTGTATTACCTGTAAATCAATTAACTAATTATCAGTGATATGTATATGTAATTTGCAACATATGATACTTGTTGACATTAATATCAGATTAAAATGCAATTATTATCAATAATATTGTTATACAATTAATTAATTGTCTATTTTAGACAACATAAAAAATTATATAAAAAGATAGTTATTAACAGTTAGAAAGTCATTCACAGCTTTTGATGTTTAGCGTCAACAGTGTTTGAACGGACATCACATTTATAAAAAAAACTATTATTAAATTGTTTTATATAATATACGGTAAATTAATTTATTGAATAACTTAAACTAATTACTAAAATTTTTATAACTGTATTTTAAATTAATATATTAAATAATTAGATTTTTTTTGGGATCAATTTTGAACAACAACAAAATTTAGCAAACAACAATGTCTAGCAAAGTGAGCCAGGTACGCCAAAATTTCCATCATGATACCGAAGCCGGCATTAACAAGCAAATCAATCTGGAACTACATGCCAGCTATGTGTACGAGTCACTGGTATGTTAGCTGAATAGTGTATACATAAGCCCACAATATCTAAATTTAGTATTCATAAAAAAATTATCGTCCAATTACTTCATACATGTAGGCCTGGTATTTCAATCGCGATGACATAGCACTGGAAGGTTTTCATTCATTTTTCAAGTCGCGGGCCATTGAGGAACGGGATCACGCCCGCAAGTTTATGGACTACCAAAACAAACGGGGCGGTCGTATTGTGCTCAAGGATATAGCCAAACCTGTTAAACAGGATGGCTGGACACCGCAGTCGGCCATCGAGGCTTCACTTGATTTGGAGAAGACAGTCAATCAGGCACTGTTGGACTTGCAAGCTATCGGCGCCCGTAATAATGATCCGGAGTTTACCGATTTTATTGAGTCGGAGTTCCTGCACGAACAGGTAGATGATATCAAGAAACTGGGCGATCATATTACTAATTTGAAACGTGTCGGCACCGGACTCGGAGAGTACCTGTTCGACAAACAGACACTCGGCTAAACAAATTCAGGCGACACACACACCCTCTCTAATAAACGGCTATTAATATTATATATAAAATTTATGACATTATTAATACAGTATTACATAAGTAATACATAATGTCTTAATTATTATATATTTTAGATTATATTTTGGATTTTTATTTGGGTTCTTATAATAAAGATATATTGTATTTGAAATATTATTTGAAGTATTATTTTATGCTAAACAATGATAATTGGAATTAATTAAAAATTATTTAAAATTTTTAAAGAAATAAATAGATTATCATTTTAATTAAATTATATTATATTTAAAATTCGTAAATAAATAATTAATCAGTACAGTCTGTGCTAAAAAAGATAATATTTTATAAAAATTAGACATAAAAAAACTTCAATTAAAAAATATAATAATTATAGCAATAATTTAATTATATTAACTTATTTAGTTGATTAATTTGTTTATTTATTATTTTATTTAACATATAAAATTATAATTTTGTTTTTATAAAAACTCAACATGATCTACATTACACGTTCAACAGTATGTAAATAACTTAAAATCTTTAATAATACATGTATATCAATAATCCTATTATTATTATTATTATTAATACATACACTAAAAATACATATTAATATACCATTACATTGTTTTTAAACTTGACATATGATATACGGTATTTAATTTATAAAAACCAGTTTTATTTTATTATTTATTATTTATATTATATATTATCAGTTATTTTATAAAATCAAATCAAACGGCATGTTATTGTCTTATTAATATTAATATTAATTATTAATAATTTTTATTTATTTATTTTTAACAAATATAAGTTTTTATTATATATAGTTTTTTTAAAAATTAATTTTTATTAACTATTAAAACAACTAATACTTAATTATGAGTTCAACAATAACTAGTAATCAATTAATGTCCAGACAATCGTTTAGCCGATTCGGTGATGATTTGGCTCAACTAATACTGTCTTATCTGCCAATTGATGCCAAATTTCGCCATCAATTTCTCAGTCGTCAGTTTCGTCGAGTTTTGTTTGACACACAAACAGATTTACGATTTGATGATAAACTGGTGGAAAATTTTGGACTAAAGAAACTCAACAGAGATGTCCATCTGTTTGAGGCTATCGTCAAGAAGTGTCCAAACATAACACGTATTGTATTGGACTACAAGTATTTACCTGATTTGACCAACTATTACATGTATCTGATGATCAAACACTGTCACCGATTGAAACACTTGACCGTTGGCTATAACAGCGAGTGCAGCGGTCGACTCATGGATTCGTTGAGCCGGTCGTATGTCAAACGCTTTTTCCGTACGTTTGCCGTACAGTTGAAGTCGTTTGAAATCGACATCTTTTATGAGCCAATCAACAAATGGTTTGGTAAGAAACACATCCAACGGTTCCAATCGCTGGAGAAGCTATCATTGGCGCCATACTATTACGACGCCCACAAGTTTTGCGAAGAAACACGACATCCCTTCACATGGATTTTACCGCCGACACTGCGATCGGTTAGTCTGGAAGTGTCGACACAATATTTGAAATATTTATCGGTGTTCGTTGCCAATTATGACCAGAAAATTACGGCATTATCGGTAAAATTACTAGACTTTCACGAAAATTTTCTGCTAATACCGTCATTGGCAGCATTGTTGTCACGGTTTCGGTTACTAAACAAATTAACATTACGACCGCAAGGATCCTATTTTCGACAGTTTCCCAAATATATTCACAGCGATTATATTATTGATTTGATCCGCGATATGGGCGCCAACTGTCCACTACTGAAGTCGGTTACTGTCGACGGTATCAATATAAACGACACACTATTTACTCGTCTGATCGATACAATAGCCCGACATATGCACCGATTAAGACAACTTAATCTTCATGTTATCACTTCAGTCGAAAATATGAGTCAAAACATGAATCCACTGTTAAAGTCGTCGATGAAAAAGTTGCCACAATTAACACATTTTTCTCTACGCTGTTACGCCACAGATATACCAATTGATGATAAATTTTTCGATGATATCCATCTCCAACTGCCGCGACTACAGTATCTCGATCTCCGAGACTGTAGTCTAACGGCACAGACAATGCGATCGTTGGCCAAACTAAAACATTTGCGCGCCGTTCGCCTATACGGTTGTCTACACCCGCCGGTGTCCGTCAATGTTATCACTGATGAGCTGATCCGTAAACAGGCAAACATTACATCGGTTTTTATTTCCTATAGATTTCCTTCAAATATATTTATACATGGTCATTTATTTGCTTTATGATTTATTTATTTTATCTTGATAACATTTATTTCTACAATTTTTTTTATAAATATCATTTCATAAATATCTTTTTTTTATCTATTTATAATTTTTAAAATTCCTATTTATGCTATATTTTGTTTTATTAATTTTAAATGTTTTTATAATCATTTATTTTAATAATTAGTTTTTTAGTAATTTTACAATAATAAATTAAAGTTTTTAACATTTCATTAATAATACATTATAACTATGAATCAACTAATCAAAAATTACTGTTTATTAATGTTAAAAATAAATATTTTTTTTTGTAAATATACTAAACTACAGTATTATATTATTAATTACACTGATATAATTAAAGCGATTTTAATACATTATATAGAAATTTAAACATAACAGTAGATATTTATTGATATTTATGCATACAATTTATTAAAATAATATGAATAATTTGAACGTTCAATAAATTACAGTAATTAATTATTTAATAGTTTTTAAGTGATTAATAAGCATTATGAATTATAATTTTTATTATTATCATTAAAATAAAATGCCATAATTATATTCTAAAAAATTGTTGAATACTATATAATACAGTATATAAATTATATTAACTTAACAGTAATAAAAATTAATTAGTAAATATAGTATATCATACAGTAAACAAATTATACTATATTAACATAACATTAATAAAAATTAATTAGTGAATATATCACACAGTAAACAAATTATATTAACTTAACAACAATAAAAATTAATTAGTAAATAGAGTATATAATATAGAAATTTTTATGTATACAGTATTAGCTAATACTAATACTAATTATTTATAAGGTTATAAAATAATAATAAGTTTATTGCATAATTTATTTTCTATATTCCCAAAGTCTATATTATCAAATAATAATTATAATTATAAAAATTAATAATATAAATATTACAGTAAGATAATTCAGTTAATTAGCAATTTCACTAATAAATTGTAATAACTTTATTACTGTGTTTCTACCTTTGTAAAAAATTATTACAGTATAAAAAATTAGTATTATATTATACACAGTTTATATAAATAGTGAATAAAATACAGTAATATATTTTATTTACATATTTTATAAGTTTTTTTAATTATGTCGAAAAAGTTTAATCCGAGAAAACTTTTGCCGCGAGAGTTATGCCTTACGGAAGCCGATAGTCATCTCTATAGAATTGGTCTCTCACTAAATAAACCCATTTATAACTTTAATAGACATCTATTATATAATCCAATTATTGTTGTTTTTTGTCAATTTGTTTATTTCACTCGTAATATAATAGTATATAATTATAATGAATTGATGTCAAATAATTTCAGATTATACATTGGTGATCTGAGTTATTTTATGAATGACAATATGATTAGTGCCTTAATTGGTACATTTGTCGGTGCATTAGCATTGGGCTCGCAATATATCAATTATACTAATTATCGCTCGGGTATAGCAAACACTGATCTCCGTATACTTCAAGTGATAGCAGGTGTGGTCACACCCGATATCTGCGGTATTAGGGATATGCAAACAGTGTTACGAGTCCTTCAAATATCTAAACGATCTCTAGCTATAACACAATTCACTACTAATGCTATTGGTTTTCTGGTATTGGTATTGGTACTGATAAGTTTCAAATCTAAAATAACCTGGATACAACTGATAATCTTTGGTATACCACACGCTATTATTTGGGCAATCATATCATATTATACGTTGACAACAATATTGTATCAGGCAACTTATTTTTGCATAATAACTAATTATTTAAAAATTAAAATGAAATCAATAAACAAACAAATTGTAATTATTTTAAATACTAATTCAATTCAAAAATCTAGAAATGAAATGTCGAAAGTCATACTTGAATTGAATACAGTTTACAATGAAATTAATGAATATAATGTCAACTATTGGCGCAAATTTTTGGGTCTCCTATGGCTAACAATTAGCTCTATTATAGCATTGCTAACATATTTGACATTTTATGGTACAATTGAATTGGCATTTATCAGAATATTAACATTTTTGTTTCTAATTAATTTTTCAATACTTATATTTTTTGTTATTGGATTATCAAATGATATATTTATTGAGCCGTTCATAACATATAAATTATTGAATTCATTTATTTGTTCAAAAATGACAAAATCATTAATGTTAAAATTTAAAGTAAAAAATTATTATTGTTTAAGTTTAAATATTTCAGTATTTTTTAATATCAATTTTTTTATAGATATCAATAATATTGGGTCGAATATCATGTAATAAAATTGGGTTTTATTGTTGGAAAGTGTTTATTATTAATAGATTTCGGGGATATGAAGTAATGTTTTTTTTTTAAATATTTTATTTATTATATATATTAATACATAATTTTTAAATAATTTTTTTCTTTCTTTGATTATTTAGATAATATTATCGATTGCAATATTGTTTATGCATATTGTAGAGTTTTAAATGCACTTAAGTTTGTTATAATTTATAAATATATAAAATTATAATTCTAATAACAAATTATTTTTTACATGTTATTATTAATTATTTTTTACATGTTATTATTAATTATTTTTTAAAGCTTAAAAATATTCTAAATTAATCAATATAAAATGTCAAAATTTAAAAAACATTTAATATTTAAAATTTAAAATTTAGAAATAATATTTATTGATATTTATGATATTATGTTAAATATTCAATGAAAATATGATTATTACAATATTTAAATAATTAGAGCAATTAAAGTCTAATTTGATTATTTTTATGTTTTTAAGTCATTAATAAACATGTATAATCATGTTTTGTATATATTTTTAATAAATTGTTTAAACAATTGCATAACAAGTTGCATATAATATATAATTTTTTTTAAATAAATAATTAGAATTAATGTTTTATAATCTATATTTTTTTGTTTTTAATTATTTTATTTAATGTTTAGTTTTTTAAATTTTTAAAATTTAAATGTTATCTTTTATGAAATATTGTAATATTTTGATATTAATTTAAAACAAACAAAATAATTAATATAAAAGTCATTTTTTCTAAGGTCTAGTATAAATATTATTAGTTAAATTTTAATTAATTTTTACTTAGGTGCAATAAAAATTAATTAGTAATTATATATATAAAGTATATTATGTAATAAGTTATTTTAACATAATTTACATAATTTAGATCAATTTTCATCTAATAGTAATTATAATTATATTAATTAGTAATATAAATAATACTATAAAAATATTTAGTTACAAAACTGTAATAACAGTTTAACAACAAAAAATAATTATTATATAATAGTCTACTGTAAGGCAATTTTGTTTAATTAATAAATTTTAATTTTCCAGAGTTTTAATTTTAAAATAAAGTCTAAAAAGTTTAATTCACAAAAGTTTTTATCACAAGATCTATGCCTTACGGGAGTCGATAGTCATCTCTATAGAGTTAGTCTCACACTATATAAACCTAATTATTTTATGATAATATGATTGGTGCGTTTGTCGGTGCAGTAGCACTGGGCTAACATTATATCAATAATTGATACCTGAGCGATAATTACTGTATTGTCAACACTGATCAACTTGTTTCTACAGTCATCTACTGTGTTTCAAGTTATGGCAGATCTACTCACACCTGACACCTGTTTTATTAGGGATATGCAGACAGTATTACAACTAAACATATGTTTTAATACTGTATATTGATTACATTATTTTGTTTGTTTTTTTACTAAATTACTTTTTAAGATACTGTACTTATATACTGTATATTTATATATCATACAAAATATAATAATAATTTTGGTTATTTTTTAATAATATATTCATTTTTTATAAATTAATAAATATTGTGTTTATCAATAATAATTTTGTTTTTTAAATTTATAATAAAAAATAAACTAATATTTTATAAAACACTAATTACTATTTAATGTTTTATAAATATATAGTATAAATTAGTGGAAAAAATGTATAAGTATTAATAGGCATTAATATCATTTATAATTATTTTATACTTATTACTAACAATTAAAAACAATACTTAAAAAACTAATTTCAATATATATTACATCAATAAAACTTATTCTATAAATATAATTCTGTATAACTATTATTTAAACAATATTTGTTCAAATATTTAGATATAATTATATACACATGTTATTAGTATATAACTTATATTGATTATACAGTATTAATATGATATAATATAATAATTTATATTCAAATATACAGGTACTTTAATAATACTTATATCATTGAACTTATTAGATGATTATATTATTGTATATATCATAAAATATAAATTATCATAGTTAATAATATTTTTCAAAATTTTAAAGCATATTATTTTTAAAAAGTTGAGATAAAATGTCACAAATGTTTGATTCAACAAAACTATTATCGCCTGAGTTATGCCTTACGGGAGCCGATAGTCATTTATATAGAGTTGGTCTTTCATTATATAAACCTATTTATCATTTCAATAGACAACTATTTTATAATCCAATTCTAGTATTTTGTTGTCTATTACAACATTTTATTCGCAATTATATAATAGTTTTCTATGACTTGAATCGTACGGTTAATTGTCGAATAATTATCGGAGATTTAGACTATTTTATGAATAGCGGAAACATTGTCAATACTATTGGTTTACTATCGGGAATACTATTATTTGGTTCACAACTAATCAATTACTTGAACTATACTACGGCTAATTCATGCACTGATCTTCGTGTGCTTCAAGTGATGGCCGGTGTGGTCACACCCGACAGTTGCGGTATTAGTGATAGTCATACAGTGGTACGATTGCGATACGTTTGCAAACTATCGTTATTAATCACACGTATGGCTACCGTATTGATTCCAATGGTAACATTTCTATTGGTACTGGTCAGTTATAATAGAAAAATTACCATGCTACAATTTTTTATGTTTGGTCTTATGCATGCTATTGAAATGGCTGTTTGGATTCACTATGCTATTAACATAATATTTTATCAATCAACCTATTATTTTATAATAACCTATTATTTGATTAATAAAATGAAATCAATTAATTGCAATATTCGACGTCAAATAAATTGTGAAATAAAATGTAAATTTATTTACATATCGAAACTTATAGGGAAACTGAATACAGTCTACAATGAGATCAATGATTATAATGGTATCTATTGGTCCAAATTTTTGGCTCTCTTATGGTTATCTCTGGGATCCATAATATCAATGCTATTGTATATGGTATTCATGGGAAATATACAGTCAATTGTAATCAAAATTATATTATCAATTTACCTAGTTGACTATACAATTTTATTTATGTTTATCATACACATATCTAACGGTGTCTATTATGAACCTATTAATACATCAAACCTATTAAACTCGTTGTTGTTTTGTTCAAATTATAAATTTTATATTAGGTTTAATCTAAAGGTAATATTAAATTAATATTATTTTTATATATCTTGATTTTATTTATTTATATTTTACATTTCTTTTTAAATAAATTTTTTATAGATATTAATAACATTAGAGAGAATATCGCTAAATAAAATTGGTTTTTATTGTTGGCAATCATTTATTATTAATAACTTTAGAGGATTTGAAGTAAGAATTAAAAAAAAATATTTAATATAAAAATAATATAAACATTAATAAAAAATTATTTTAAATATTTTATAGTTATTTGGACTAATTATCATCTTATTGTTAAAAATTGTTGAAATGTATGAATAAATATACTGTTTAATCAATTGTTTTTTAATATACTACTAGTGTATATCGTTAAATTCGACAGATCCGATGCATTTGAATGTTGATAATAACAATATTGTTAGGCAACTATCTTATCGCTTTAGATCAGTGATCAAAATTAAGTGTTATCATAATAACTTTGTGATACATATATAACATAACTAATTTAACAGATATTTAATAGTAATTATCATAATTTATAACAAACAGTGAGTAAGTTAAACAAACACTTAACACTTACTCATTTAATATGTACTAGTTTATTTGTACAATTTAGTTTTATAAAGTTTAATTTTGATCACTGCTATAGATAATGAAACAATTAGAAATCATAATAATAAATTATAATATCATAAATAGGTTTTTTATTTATAATTGATCAAAAAAATTATTTATTTAATAATATAATTTAATATAAAGTTTGTGGGCTTATTTCGGGTTATCAGCTATCATTCAATATATTGTTTTATTTGATTTCAACTTTAAGTCATTCATTCATAATTATTTAATTGTATCGGATCTGTGTCGTTAATATACAATATATACTTATACTATATTTTAATTACTATTATTACATTATGTAATTTACATATTAAATATAAATAAATTTTATAAATTTTAAATTGTATATAATTTTTTTTAGTGTCATAAATTATTAACTATTATTATCATTATTATTATTATAAATTTTATTTATGTAATAACTATCTGTATTTTACAATAATTAGTTAATACAGTATTAATAATATACAGAATTTTTCAATTACTTTACTTTTATAAGCAAAACATTATTTATGTAAAATTGTTACATAAGTAGTAATTACTGTACCAATCAATGCCCACAAAGTTTATGTAATGTATAAACAATTATTGACTTAAAAAAACAAAACAAACAAACAGTTTATGAAATAATTGACAAAACATTTAAACAGTTTTTTTGGTCCAAAATTTTTTTTTGTGAACTGTTTTCATGTTTTAAACAATAACAACATATCTAATAGCCATTGGTTCACAATTGGTCGCCGCCTATCACCAAATGTCCGCCGAAACGGTCAATAACAACAACCCGACCGTTGTCTCCGCCGATGAACAGATAGTTATGGATGACTGGTCGCCGTTTAGCAATTGGGGAGACGAAGATAACGACGATTCGGCGGCGATGGACAGCAGCGGTGAACTATTGCCTATCAGTGTCCACAAATCGTCGGCCTCCCAGCCATCATCATCGGTGACGACCACTGGACAACTGGATGCCAACAACGGTAACAGTAGTGCAACAAATGATGGCAATAATTGTGTGTCAGCTGAAACACCGGTAGATAATATCAACAACAATATCAATGTTTCGATGTCAATACCGGACACCACTATAACTGAAGACGTTTCAAACGAGATAATAGACATGGAGTTGGACACGGATTTTGATGACGACGATAACGGTGTTACCGATGATCTAGAAGAGGGCGAAATTGTCGATGAAGATGGACTTAGCGATTGGGATTTAGTGTCCAATGATATAAAGGACAGGTATGTATATCACAATTAAAGAGTCATTTCATTTAACAGTCATTTGTTTTTTAATCTAACAGTTCCAACAAAACAACAACAACACTGACCACTGTTAGTAATAACGGGAATAAGATCTGCAAAGTTGAGACGTGTAGCAAACTTTTCACTGATGCCACGGCATTACTTCGCCATTATCTATACGTCCACTTCATATGTCAGGACTGTTTGGCTACGTACGAGTCGTTTACCGATGTGGCCGGTCATCGGATAACTGTCCACAAGGATAACGAGATTGGCGAACACAAGTGCGCCGAATGTCGCAAGTATTTTATCGATGACAATCATTATGCCAGACATCAACGTTTGCTGCATCCCGGAGCTCAAAATAGCAAACATAGTTCAACTCCTACTCAAGTTTCGGCTGAACCTATTGTTAGTAGTAGTAATAATAGTAAAATTCACGGTACTAATAATGGACAACATAAATGCGATTTGTGTGACAAACTGTTTGTCGATGATTTGGCCCTAAATGATCATAAAGAAACTTACCACCATTTGTTAGGTTTAGAACTGAGCGATTGGGAACAGGAGTCTGATGAACACAGGTCGACAAACACTAGGTATATATATATATATATATATATATACAGTAATAATTGCTAATTTATAAATTATTTATATATTGTTTTTTTTGTTTGTTTGTAAATAGTAAGACAAATAGGACACAATCGACTGAATCAATTGAAGGGAATAGGGCTATAATCGACAACAAGAAAACTCTTATTAATAAGACAACGATGTCTTACCCGTGCGATAACCATAAGTGCAACAAAAGTTTTGCCAAACAAACCGAACTCTACGAACACAAACGTACTGATCATCTAATTTGTACCGATTGTGACAAACAGTTTTCAAATATTGTCGTATTGATGACTCACCGGAGATCTGTCCATAAGGTGCCATACGCTCATAAGTGCAACCATGATAAGTGTGCTAAAGATTTCTACAGTTTAAGTCAATTGCAACGACATTTGATTAATGTACACTCTTTTGTCGGTAACTGTACCGCTACTACTACTACTACTACTAGTAGTAATAGTAGTAGTAATGATAATAATAATATAAATAAGAGAAAAACCGTCTATTGTTGTAAAAAATGTGATCAACAGTTCAATAGTGAGGAACAGTTAGATAAACATCATACGGATGTTCATCAATATAAATGCGAAAAGTGTAGTAAATTGTACGACAATTTGGAACAGTTAGATAAACATAAATATGATGTTCACAGTTATAAATGTAATAAATTTGACCAAATTTACGATAACGAGGAAACTCTTATTAATAAGACAACGATGTCTTACCCGTGCGATAACCATAAGTGCAACAAAAGTTTTGCCAAACAAACGGAACTCTACGAACACAAACGTACTGATCATCTAATTTGTACCGATTGTGACAAACAGTTTTCAAATATTATCGTATTGATGACTCACCGTAGGTCTGTCCATAAGGTGCCATACGCTCATATGTGCAAACATGATAAGTGTGGTAAAGATTTCTACAGTTTAAGTCAATTGCAACGACATTTGATTAATGTACACTCTTTTGTCAGTAGCTGTACCGCTAGTACTAGTAGTAGTAGTAATGATAATAATAATATAAATAAGAAAAAAGCCGTCTATTGTTGTAAAAAATGTGATCAACAGTTCAATAGTGAGGAACAGTTAGATAAACATCATACGGATGTTCATCAATATAAATGCGAAAAGTGTAGTAAATTGTACGACAATTTAGAACAGTTAGATAAACATAAATATGATGTTCACAGTTATAAATGTAATAAATGTGACCAAATTTACGATAACGAGGAACTATTGGATAGACATCGACGGATAACCCACAGCCATCAGTGCGATAAATGTGACGGCATTTATGATGATGAGGAACAGCTATTACAACACAAACTCGATGTTCATAGCTTTAAGTGTGACAAATGTGACCACAATTGTGACAGTAGGGAACAGTTAGATCGTCACATATATGTTTATCATAATTACCGATGCGATAAATGTGACGACGTTTACGACAGTGTCGATCAATTGGATAAACACAAACATGATGTTCATTATTACAAGTGCGACAAATGTGATCAAATTTATGATAATGAAGAACTATTGGACAGACATCGCCGGATAATCCATAACTGCAAGTGTGACAAATGTGGTCACGTGTGCGATAGTGAAGAACAGTTGCATAAACACCGGCGCGACTATCACTACTATAAGTGTGACAAATGTCATAAATACTACTATATTGCGGAACAGTTGGCCGAACATAAACTGCAAGTCCACAGTCATAAGTGTGACAAATGTCATAAATTGTTTGCAACTGTGGAACAGTTAGATAAACATATACAAGATGTTCATTGGTTTAAGTGCGACAAATGTAATCAAATGTACATAAGTAAGGAACAGTTAGATAATCATAGACGTGATGTCCACTGGTATAAGTGTGACAAATGTAATAATTTGTTTGCAAGTGAGGAATTGGTACATAAACATAGACGTGATGTTCACTGGCATAAGTGTGACAAATGTTACCAATTGTTTGCAACTGAGGAACAGTTAGTCAATCATAGACGTGATGTCCACTGGTTTAAGTGCGACAAATGTGATAATAAGTACGATATGGAGGAACAACTGATTAGACATAAAAATGATAAACACTTAATGTACAATAATAATAGTGATTATAATGCCAGCAATGGTATAAATTTGAATTGTAATGGTGTTAAACGGCGCAAAATGTTTAAATGTGATTACTCTAAGTGTAACAAACTGTTTACCAATGATGACGATTTAGATACACATCAATGGACTCATTATAAAAAACAGATTACTTATGAAGAAATGGTCGACGAATACATTAATAAAAATAATTTTTAAATAATTTATTTACACATTACTGTTAAATATTAAATAGAAACTAAAAGTTAATATTATGACTACTGTAATTGTTTTGTATTTTAATTAAATTATAACTACTAAATAAATTTATAAATAATAATAAAAATAATTTTTAAATAATTTATTTACACATTACTGTTAAATATTAAATAGAAACTAAAAGTTAATATTATGACTACTGTAATTGTTTTGTATTTTAATTAAATTATAACTACTAAATAAATTTATAAATAATAATAAAAATAATTTTTATGTTTGTATGTATCACATAATTAATAATAACGCAAATTTAAAAAAAAATATTTACCGTATAAACCCGCAAATAGCCCCCCATGGCCATATGGGGCTAAATGTGGAAATGTGGGCAATAAGTGAAAAATAGCCCCCCACCAAAAGTTGATTTGAATGAAATCACAAATAGCCCCACTATTGAAAATATTGTAGTTTTTTTGAATGTGTATATACCCCCCTCATGCCATCTATTGACCGGTCAGTGTCTAAACTAAAACTATTAATTATAATAAACTGTAAATTTTAAGTTTTTTTTATTAATTTTTCAATTAAATGCTATTATACTGTATTTAAATGCTTTGTTTAATAAATGTTGTTAACATTATTTATGTTATGACCGATCTATATGTATGACTAAATGACTGTATGACTACATCACTATGTATGACATCATCACTATGTATGACTACATGACTGTATGACTACGTGACTATGTATGACCTCATGTATGACTGCATTACTATATGTATGACTATAGAAACGATTTCCTTTTCCTGTTATACATTCAGGCACTCCATTGTTGTTGTCATCAAAGTTATTACCACTTCTTGTGAGCAATGATTGAACAAATGAAATACTTTGATTCATCTGATCGGTCGCATTATGTCGTCAGTGCTGAACACATCAATTCCCACAATTGTCAACATTATCTCATCACTGGTTATAAAATGTGATTATGGATGTGGTGCGGGGTTCCCATTAATAGACCGGTCATTACATTTGGCCATTTGTGGATCAGCTCTCTGTGAGCGCTGCAAGTTTTCGATTAATGAAATCCCTGTTCACCACTGATTTTTTTATTGGAACAAGCACGGATAGCTAAAGAAATTGAAGATCGACAGGTGGCCACTGAAAATCCCAATCAAGCAATTGAATTGGCTGAACAGCCCGCCGGCCCGTCAAATGAAACAATCATACAGATCGATGACCCGTCAAATGAAGACATCTATCAGATCGATGACCCGCCATATGAAGACATCAATAAGATGGCTGACTCGTCAAATGATGCCACAAATCAGATCGATGGCCCGTCAATTGCTGACACCAATCAAATCGATGACAACATCGTTATTTATTTATGCGGCCATAATAACCATGGATTTAGTTCTTGTTAACTACTCGGATAACCGTTTGAGAAACAGGACAGCTTTCGTGACGTCATCATCTTATTGTTAGTCGTGTCCGTCAATCAGCATTTGCCGATCTTCTACAGACAGCCGGTCCTCAAGTCAACGATTTTATAAACGCCAACAGACCGGTCATTACGGCCAACATTTCAAGAATTTGTTTTAAGTTCAGAAATCGGTATTATTAACTGATACTTACCGTACAATACTTGTAATAAATAATTTCCCGATAATTCATATTTTTTTCATTATTAATTATGCAATACATTTAAAAAAATTTTTTCTATATTATTTAAAATTATTTTATTTATAAATATTTAAAATTATTTGATTAATAAATGTTTTATTTTATTTATTTAATACATAATCCGTATAACAATCATAGCTTATTACACATCATTACATATTTTTTTATTTATTAGACCGATCTTATATATATAACCCTTTCCCCCAATCGTTCCTTCCCCCACGACTTCACATATAGCCCCAGTAGGGGGCTATATGTGAAAAATAGCCCCCTACCAAATGTTGATTATAAAATTTTAAAAAACCGTCAGGGGGGCTATATGCGGGTCTATACGGTACTATAAATTTATTATTTGTATTTTTCATAATTATTGTACCTAATTTTTATAATAGATAATTTATAAAGCTTATAAAATATTACAATTATATTACAGTAAATTATAAATTAAATTTACAGATAATACATTAAATATTTATTATTATTTTTTAAGTCTAGTAATTTTATTAAGAATTTTAAAGTGACATTTATATTATAATTAATTGAACACATAATTATACATTAATTTACATAACACATGAATAATATTAGTATATGTTTTGATTAAACTAATTATTTACATTTATATATAATATTTTATAAATTATTTGATAAAATGTGATATTGTAAATATTATGATCATAAAAATATAGACTCTATGAATACATATATTAATTTTAATATAACTATTATTTTATGAAAAATACTAATGTTTAAAATTTATTTATTCTATATTTTTTATGATATATAAAACTTTAGTTATTTAATATTTTTGTACCTGTATTTGTTTTCTAGAAGATTTAATAAATCTATATTATAATTAAAATAATAATAATACTAAATATCTGTAATATAAACAAAACTATTAAAATATCTATTAATTTTATTTAGTTTTTGATAGATATTAAATAGAAAAAAATCGAAGTAATTTTAATTAATATATTTTTTTTTATCTATAAATTAATAATTACTGTATATTCTAATAATATATTATTTAAACTTAATACGAACTTAATTAAGTTAAATTCATTTATTATATTTATTAGCTTATAATATATGTTTTATGAACTAATAAAAATTATTTTTTAATTATAAGTAAATATACTGAAGTCAATACATATAATAATAATTGAATTAATTTAAATACTAAAACTTAATTATATAACTTTTTCTTCAATAAATTGCTGTTTTAAATGCCAATAGTTTCTGTAATGAATATCTGCTCCCATCTATAAAATATTAATTATTTAATTATAGTTTAATATAAAAAAATTAATAAAATTCTAGTAATTATTATTATTATAAAATACATACAAAAAACATTTTTTTATCCATTGGAAATGTTTTCGTCAATTGTTCATCACATCTCAATATATTTAATACCATAAATAATATGTAATATAATGTAAAAACTTTGATTTCTCTAAGTAATTGATGACTGGAATTGACAGTCCGTTCCCTATACGACTGTCCATGAATTTCGGTGCCAACACACAGATAGTTCTCTATTATCTGTATTAATACTTTGTCAGATGGAAACTCTGGCAAATCTCGGACACCGTTCCAATCTCTTCCCCATTCGTACATAATTGTACCGAAATCCTGGCCCCGGTATCCATAAGCTGATCCATCAAAATCGCATAACAGCACCCTATCGTTGCCATTTAGCTCAAGCCTCTCTAATATCATAATATTATTGCTGCGAAAGTCATTGTGACAGTAAACTTGAGGACTGTTGACCTCAGCTAACAACTCCTCAATCCATTGCATTTCATGTTTCAAGTCGTGAGCCAACAGTGTCTGACAGTTGAGCTCATGTATCCATTGATCATATGGTAAATTGCGGTAAATTTCATCATAAAACTGTTCCATCATTTTACTCATTGTGTAGCACTTCATGACCGGGACAGTCATAGCGTGAAATTTGGCCAACTTTTTGAACACCTGTGTCACCAATTCAGGACATTTTTGCTCCTCTACGCCAAAAATACGGTGCTTTTTATAAAAACAAAATATTATTAAAATTATTATCATATTATCATTATTTTTGTTACTATAATTAATATTATAAATTGTTATAATTACTAATAATTAAAAAATTATTAAACAATACCTTATAGTAGGCTTGAATTTCTCCGCCACTAAACATACCGTAGATTTTTGGTCCCAAACTCATCCGTGAAACCATTAGTGCAGTCACCACATCAGATATCCTCTCATTATTACTACCGGTGCGATTGCTATCATCAAATGACACGTACTTTTTGCCGTAGAATCTGATGGCAACTTCTTGTGGTACAACTGATCCCGTTTCGGGCGACTTTATACTGCAATGGTATATCTGATTAGTCAGTCCACCAGTCAATTTATTGACCACAATTGAGTCGATAGTCTGTCGACACCACTGGTCCGATAGGTATGCTTTGCATAACTGTAAACACCTGTCGTTGATATTGTCCGGTGTTTTGTCTCTAATAATTTTCAACTTATTGAAGTCAATTTCATCCAATGTCTTACAATCTCGTAATGAGTCTAACTCTTTAATATTATTATTATTATTAATGTTATCATTATTAGTATTAGTTGAGGACAGTTGGATATGAGTACTTGAATTCATTTTTTTAAAATATTTATAAATACAATAGTTATGATTACAAGTAAAAGTTTGAATTTATATATTTAAAAAAAATTACATTTAATAGAGTTTATAATAGTTTATAATACTTTAAAATTAATAGTTAACAATAAACTCATTAAAAGTTGTAAAAACTATTACTTGTATTTATATAAACTTTGAGAACATTATTGTTTATATGTTTCAAATTAGTGGAGAACTACTGTATGATAGTGTACCTGAAATGTTCATTTCAAGGACAGGTAGTTTAGTATTATTATCAATAATATTATTATAATTTACAAGATAATAATTTTTCAAGTTACTAAGCAACGTAGTATATATTTTTTTACAAATGTGCCTAGACACAATATTATAAATACAACATAAATATTGATTATTAAAAAAAAAGTTAAGAACAAAAATAATTGTTTTTATAATATATACATAAATTGAATGTTCATTTCAAGGATTTTTATATTATTTATTATTAATATTTTGATAATAAAAGTAAAGTCAATAAACTTTTCTTTTTTTTGCATTGATATTTTAGTATATATATAAATACAGTAAAATCAAAATCAGTAATACTGTATAGTTTATTTGAAATGATAGTAAATAATTTTTTAAAAATAAATAGTTATTTATCAATGTTTTGAACTAATTTTTGTCTATAAAAAAATTATTTACAAAAAGTGTTGAAACTTTTTTTAAAAAATTTTGTTTATATATATAGTTTGATAGTATTTTTAGAATTTTTTTATAACAATATTATAAATGTTTACATATTTATTAAATATATTTATTTACGATATTTGGTCAACAATTTTGACTATATTTATTGGATATACAGTATTTTATTTGGTTAAATTTTGGCTAACAATCAAATCATTACCACCCGGGCCCATACCCATACCATTTTTAGGCAACTTAACATGTATGTAATATTATTGTTTTTTTATTTTAAAATTTTTACAACTTTTTAACTGTATTATTTTTAAATAGTATTTTGGGGCACAAAAGTACATCAATGTTATACATTGTCGGACACATCCGTAAAATATGGACCAGTATTTACTCTATGGATGGGTCCCACACCCTATGTATTTATAACGGATATCGATTTAGCTAAAGAAGCCTACAATCGGAACGAACTTTCAGGACGACCTAAAACGGCATTTAGTAAATATTATATAATATTTATACTAAATTTTATTACAATTATTTTTATTGTACTTTTAATTTTATAATATTAGGCAATTTGGTATCAAATGATAATTACACGGATGTATTGTTTGCTGATTTCAGTCCTAAATGGCTAGCGTTGAGACGTGTGGCACATCTGGCGGTCAGGTATTAGTTATAATTTAATTTTTTTATATAACATATTTTAGTTAGAAAGTCAGAGTGAATGAGTAAGAGAGAGAGAGAGAGAGAGAGTTTTATTGTCCTAATAATAAAATAATGTAATTTTTTTATTATCTGTAGAAAGTATTCAATAGTTGATCGATTGCCACAATTAATAGCAAATATTGTCGACCAAACTGTTAGTTTAATGTTGAACAGGGAGGACATCAATACTGGTTTTCAAACATTTGATTACATATATCTTTTATTTTTGAATATAATGGCCGCATCAGTATTTGGCAAAATGTATGTCTAATTTTAAAAAAAATATTATTACAATAATTATAATTACAATAGTCATTAATTTTCATATTGACAAAAAAATAACTTAATTTTTAGCTATGATATCGAGGACCAGGAGTTTCGTAAATTAAATTATATATTTCACGACTTTTTCAAAGAGAATGCCCAACGACTGACTTTCCACGAGTTTATGCCTGTTCTCCAGTATGTCGATCGCGAGGTTGTCCGCCGCCGGAAGCAATACATTGCCGATACCAGAGAACTGGTTCAAAGTAAATACATTTCCCATTATAATGACTTCAATGAGACAGATATCCGAGATTTATGCGATGCCCTAATACTGGCCAAACGGGAGGCTATCCGGGATAGCAAAGAGTCAGCAGTGTATCTCAACGATGATAATATAACAATGGTCATATGGGATCTATTTATTGGTAAGTGTTTAGAAGTTAGATCAGGACTATTGAAATAATAGTTTAGTTTACACATACAGGTGCTGACAATTTTAAAAATAAATAATTTAATACCTGTATTATAGGCGGTGTCGACACTACACATAACACATTCAAATGGCTTTTACTATTGTTAGCCAAACATCCCGATTGTCAACAACGGCTGAGAAACGAAATTGAAGTCAATATTGGCGACCGATTGCCAGTACAGGAGGATAGACACCGGTGTCACTATACAATGGCATTCATAGCCGAAACAATGCGCTATCGATTGGTCGTACCGCTCGCTATGTACCACAAAGCAGTAGTCGACACCCGAATCGGTAATGACTTAACAACTGTATATACTATATATTATGATATATATATATATATATAACTGTGAATTATAATCCGGCATATTTTTTGATAGTCAATCACAACATACCTAAGGGTACCGGTATTTTTGTACATCACTATCACATACTTAACGACGTGAAACAATGGGAATCTCCCGATCAGTTTAAGCCCGAAAGGTTTCTGGACTCCGACGGCAAATATGTTACAATCAGACCACCAGCTTATATAGCGTTTGGTTTGGGTAGACGAAGCTGTTTGGGAGAAAAGTTAGCTCAGGTATCACTATTTCTCGTATTGGTTCGCTTACTACAGAATACCAGTGCATATAATATAGATGTAGAATCGGAGGCCAATCTGGAGGCAAATTATCAAATTATTGATTCACTGCAACCATACGATTATAAGTTTATTTTTTCAAAAAAATATAAATAAATAAATAACAAAAACCATGTAATTAGTGATTGTTAATAACTATAAACATATACTGAATTAGTAAATAATTATTTATTATAAGTAATAATTATTTACTTATGTGATAATAATACTGTACTTATAGTTAAACAATTAGGAATCATACTATTGCAACAATTGAAATAATTATTGATTTTACTTAGTATATTAAAACACAAATAATATAATAAAATTAAAATTAAAGATTTTTATCTTTATAAATTAACATTTAATAATCATTAATATTGTAAATATAATATTTTATAATAATAATTTGATTAAAATAAGTATAAATATCATTTAAATAATTTCTCTTTGTTAAACATATGTTTAGACTTACAAAATAATTTTTAAATTTAAAATAATTAATTATTGTATTTATAAAATAAAACAATTATTATTTCATAAGTATTGTTTATTTTTTAAAATTATCTTATTTGTTTATTTTAAATTGACTTTATATTATATGATATCTCATTATGGAAATATTTATTTATTTTTTAATTTATATTTTAATTAATAATAAAATAATTACTAGTAAAAATGTCGTTTAAAAAATAAACTATTTACTTCAACTGTTTAATTTTTTAAATTTAGTAACTGACAAAATTGTTTCAAATTTGTCGCCTAAATTGATTCAAATAAAGACAATAAAAAAACTTATTTTTACTCTAATTTTATATTGTGGTCTTAAAAGTGTTTATTACAAATATAATTTAATTTTATATCATTTTTAATATTTAAAAAAATAATAATAATTACAGTTAAACTTTTTTTTTGTTAATTTATATCAACAACAAATAATTTCTTCGATAATTGTATTAATTTTAATTTATAATTATATTTAATCATATTATTTTTAAAATTTATAATTAAGTTGGAAAAATTATTTTTGAATAAACATTATGTAATAGTTAACTGTTTTAACAAATCTATTGATTTAATCAGTAAAAATTTAAAATTAATTGTTAAATCCTATAATCTTGATTGTACTGTACTGTAGCATAAAAGTACAAAAGTTTTTTTCTTATTATTGTTTTATTACATATTAATATAATATATGATATCAATATATATATACAATTGGTACAAATATAAAACATATTTTCATTATATTGATTTATAATTATTAATATTTTTTATTAAGTAAAGATAAATTAGTCAATAAATTATATATAATTATTGTTATAAAAACATTTAATTAATGATTGATTATAATTGTTTGAAGATAATAAAATAATAAATTTATAAAGTATACAAATGTATTTTTAATCATTAAAAAATTAAATAATTTACACTAATAACAAATTTATCTACATCTACAATATATTTAGTATGATATACTGTATAACTTAAAGCACACTATTATATAATTAATTCATTGCCATTCATATAATATAACTGATAGAAACATTATTATTATTTAATAAAAATTAAACAAGTTTTTAGCAATAAGAAATTTAAAAATTCAAATTAGATATTATTGATTGAAATTTAAAGATCTATAAGCTGGTGGTGGTGGTGATGATGATGGTGCTGATGGTTGAGCACAGGTATCATAATCTGGTGGTTTATCAGATGACAACTGCAACTGTTGTTCAATGGTTTGTATGTTATTTGTTATATCAGTTGTTGTTGTTGTGGTCGTAGTAGTAGATGCTGTGGTTGATGTTTGTCCTAATGTTTTGTTAATTATTAGTTAAAAATTAGTTAGCATTTATTAATAATTTTTTTTGGTTAATTAAATAATTATAAATTTATAATAACAATAATAATAATAATAATAAAATAAATAATTACCCATGGTATTTTTCAGAGATTTTTTATATACTCTAATTCCAAGCATTAGAAAGCATAGTGTTATAACAGTTGACGCAACAGTAATAATGGAAACAATTGCTATATTATAATTTGAACCATTATTTCTATATCGTTGACAAATATAATTATTATCTTCATATCCATCCTCACCCATACATTCACACCGTTTACTATAATGATTGCACTCTCTATTTAAGTCATACGATTGACAATCTCTGTTATCATCACAAACGGTAGGTATCGTATCGTTATATTGACTACTAAACCGATAATTGGGTATAAAACGGCACCGATTGTCATAACAAAATTGATTAGATGGCCAATAACTGCACGAAATACTGTTATCACAGTAGACGCTGTCAACTCTAAAACATTTGTGTGGCAGTAATAGATGGGGATAATAGCCAACACTGCACTCACAGTTACCATCAATACATTCCTTATTCATATCATAGTTTTGACATTCATAGGTCTTATTGCAATTATTCAATTGACAAACTCTAGTATTCATAACATAATTTGGGAAACGATTTATTGCACACCGACAACGGTTATCAATGCAGTAGACAGTGTCTGACTTAGGATCTATACGACATTCCTTATCAGTATTACATATATTATCTACATAATGTCCATCACCGGTGCATTTATAACCATTATCGGGATCTTCATTTGTACCCTCACGACAAATACATTTTCCATAATGATTGCATTGTCTAAGTCTATCATATTGTTGACAATCATAATCATTCAAACATGAATAATAAGCAGTGTCATTTTTAATTTCGTCAAACTTATAGTTGGGTGCAAATTGGCATCGATTAGCATAGCATACCTGATGATTGGGCCAATCACTACATTGTTGGTATTTATTACAATAATTGTCATCAAAACGCTTACATTTTAGACCATTATTATTATCAGCATAAAAATTGTATGGACATCGACACTGGTGTACACTTGTATCACATTCTCTGCTTTCATCATATACTTGACAGTCACTCTCATACGAACACTTAAAATTGATCGTATCGTTGATAGTATCTGAAAATCTATAGTTGGGTGCAAATTGGCACCGATTATCATAACACACCTGATTGCTGGGCCAATTATCAAACCGTTGACTGTCATTACATTCAGTATTAGCTAATTTAATACATTTTAGACCATCTTTAGGATCTGTATAATAGCCGACACGACATTCGCATTGATTTGTAACTTTAAAACACTCTCTATTGATATCAATTTTATGACAAACCCTAGAATCAGAGCATTCAAAATATTTTAATAGTTTTGTGTCATTTATGTCAGTAATATCATTGTCATTAACATCCGGATCAGTTTTAACGGCATATATCACATAATTAATTAATAAAATATTTATAAAATTAAATTTATACATTATATATTTAAAAAATATTAGACTAATATTTTTCTAAATAACAATTAGTTTATAAATATAACAATTATTTTTTATATGTTAAACATTTTTGATTCAAAATACATTTTGTAAGTTATATATGTGAGTTATATAATAAAAATTGATTCATTTAACTTTTATTGTGTGTATATATAAAAAAGATTAGATAATTATTTTTGATGAAAACATTGTACAAAGTATAAAATTTAACTAAATTTTTTAAAAATGATTTCAATAATAAAAAGTAACCTAAAGTTTACTATAGTATTACAAATTTATTTAATAATAGCAATAAAATTTATTATTGTTTATTATATAATAAAAATGTAATTTTGAAAAATCTTAACGTGAATATAGTAAATATTTTAAATATTTTAGAAAATAAGTTTGGAATTAATATCTTTGTTTTAATTTTAGTAAATTTTAATAATTTTTAAAATTAATATAAAAAATAAATGATTATATTTATATTAAAATTGACAATTAAAATACTTTATTTACTATTTTAATTTAATAAGTTATTATTATATATTTTTATCAAACAATAAAATATTTATTAAAACAGATAAATACTAAATAATAATCATAAAAAATATATTTGACTTAAATAAACACAAACATACCTAATGTACTAATGATTTTAATAAAATAATTTTATTACAAAATGCAATAATTTATTATATCATTAGTTGTTTATATAATATTTAGTCACTAATCATAAGCAATAAATTTTTAGGCATTTACTATACAGTAGTATAAAATGATTGAAGCTGTGATTGATTGGTCGGTTATATATTGTTAGAAATATATAGTAAATGCATAGTTAAGTGATAGCACTAATTGGTTAATAATCAGCATTTAATAGTTTATTAATTGTGTGTATATTAGGTATATATATATATATATATTCATATACTGTATTATACAGTATATCTAGTAATGAAATGTACTATAAATCTATGTGTTTTGCAGTTTTTTGTACAAATAATTTATTTTGTAATTAAAATACAATATAAATATCATTTTTCAAGCACATATGTCACTCATAGATTTAAACTAAAAAAATACCTTAGAGTGTCATCTTATACTAGAAGTATGATTCGTATACAAGTAATACTGTAAAGAAAACATTTAAATTTTAAATATATTATAATACTTGACTTTAATTGGTTAATACAAAAATCACGTGACATCTTATATTACGACGTCTACTAATGTTTTCAAATAAAAAACAAAAATTCAAAACAATTGATAATAACATGTGTTTACAATAATTAGATAATAATAACAACAATAATGACTACAATTAAGCGCATTATTGTCTCATTGAAGACAATTAGACCACACATTGATGACTACTGGTTTGCCATACCATCGATGGTCAACACTATCGGCGATTTGAAGATTGTTTTGACCGAAGAGGAGAACGTATTAAATGCCGAAGAAGTGGATCTGTTTATGGATAATGTGTTGTTAAGAGACAACTCAATGATTGATATGATTGCAGATAAAGACAGAATTGAGATCAAAGCCAAATCTTCGGCTAATATAACAACTGATGTCAAGAAATCTGCGAAAAAGAAGAAGAAGAAACACTTTGATTGTCAACCGATGGCTAAAGATATTACTGTAACAGACAATAGTTGTGTCAAAAAAGTAGACAAAAAACATGTAAAACAAAACCCGATTATCAATACTGTTGTCAATAGTTTGGACATCAGTTCAATGAATAATGGCATTAAACAGGAACCGATTGGCGAAGAGATGATAGAAAGTGATAATATCTTAATGTTTGTTTAAAATCTTTAAAAGTTATGATTTTTGTCAATTAATTTTTGTTATATTTAATATGCAGTCACAATAGTATTAATAAAATGGTCAACAATTTGAGGACAAAAAGCGTAAAACGTGAACCAATTAGTGATGAAGAAGAAGAAGAAGAAGAACGGATAAAAATGGAGACAGAAGTTATGGCAATGGTTAACATTAAAGTTGAAAAACAGAGTTTTGAAGATAATAATGATAAAGATGTGATTGATATCTCGGATGAGTCGTCGAGTGAGGACAGCAGTGATGATGAGTCCACTGATAGATCACTGAAGATCTGCTTCAATAATAGGACTATTAATGATAAGAATGTCAGTAAACATGAGTTACAAATTAAATCTATGGTTCAAATCCAAGATAATAACAGCAACACTGTTATTGGCAATACATCATCAAAACACAAGTTTGTAATTCTAGTATTTATTGCATTTTTTTAAAAAATAATATAAATTATCGGTAATTAAATTTATTTTAATATATTATCTGAACAGTGCCTCCATATCTGCAACACATGACAATCAATTGTTGTCCACTTCAAGTGATAATAATAACTACAACAAACAGCAAACAAGAAAACCTATTCACAAATGTGATATTTGTGACAATATATTTGAAAATGAATGGAGTTTTGTATTGCATATGAGATATAAACATAAAATAGATTTACGTCCCTTCAAGTGTACACTTGAGGGATGTCGAGCTGTTTTCAAATTATCAGAACAACTCGAAATACATAAACAAAGAAAACATTTACCTACCGGTGCTTTCATCGATACTATCGGAAAAGACAGGTATTTTAATGACACCATTTATTTATTGTTGTATTTATTTGATTTTACTGTTTTTTTTCAATACAGTAGTTCAACAACATCTGAATACAACATTAATGATACGACTGATGGCTCATTAGTATTAACAAAAAACAGATTTATCTGCGATTATAATGGCTGTAATAAATCGTTTTTGAAAGAACCGAAATTCATTAGACACAAACAATTTACTCATTTTATATGCTGTCAGGACTACTGTCGCCAAACGGGTCGTTCAGTATATGATTTGGTCGTACATATGAGGAACGACCACAATATCGATTGGTTTCCCTACAAGTGTTCCCGTCGTTATTGTGGCCAAGAATTCAAATCATTAAAACAACTTAAAGAACATAAATTTCTGGGACATTCACGTGGTATTCAGCTAACCGGGCCATTCAGCTAACAACAACAACAACAAAATAATTGTAATTAATAATACAGACAAATATAAATTATAATCATTGATATATATTTTTATTAATTTGACAACATTTTGTAACATTTGTTACGGCAATTGTTTATAAAGACATTTTTTTATAATAACTAAACTAATCGATGTATTATTTGTTACAAGCATTATATTATCTTAAAAAATGCTAAATTTATATACAATACTTATGTACCGGTAATTGATTTTTTAAAAAATTATGTATAGAATAAAATTTTAAAAAATGTTTGAAATAATTTAGAAATTAAATCCTTTAAAAATCATTGATGTATTAGCTGGTGATGATAATGATGTTTGAACACAGGTATCATAATTGGGCCGTTTATCAGATATTTAATAATTTTTTAATAGTTTAATTAAACTTATTTAATACTAATAAATTGATAATATTATGTATCATAATATTATTAGTAGTATCTGTACTTAACAGTAAAATTAGTACTGTATTTATTAATATGTATTTTTTACAATAATATTAACATATGTTTTCAATTGTGTATACATTTTTGAAAAATAATAATTAAAAACAATTAATAACAACTTGTGTTTACAATAATTAGATAATAATAACAACAATAATGACTACAATTAAGCGCATTATTGTCTCATTGAAGACAATTAGACCACACATTGATGACTACTGGTTTGCCATACCATCGATGGTCAACACTATCGGCGATTTGAAGACTGTTTTGACCGAAGAGGAGAACGTATTAAATGCCGAAGAAGTGGATCTGTTTATGGATAATGTGTTATTAAGAGACAACTCTTTGATTGATATAATTGCAGATAAAGACAGAATTGAGATCAAAGCCAAAGCCTCGGCTAATATAACAACTGATGTCAACAACTCTGCGAAGAAGAAGAAGATAAACTTTAGTTGTCAATCGATGGCTAAAGATATTACTGTAAGAAACAATAAACGTGTAAAACAAGAACCGGTAATCAATACAACTGTCAATAGTTTGGACATCAGTTCTGTGAATAATTGTATCAAACGAGAACCGATTGGCAAAGAGATGATAGCAACTGATAATATCTTAATGTTTGTTTAAAATCTTTTAAAGTTATGATTTTTGTTAATTAATTTTTATTATATTTAATATGCAGTCACAATAGTATTAATAAAATGGTCAACAATTTGATGACAAAATGTGTAAAACAGGAACCAATTAGTGATGAAGAAGAGATGATAACTGATGCAAAAGTTAGACCAATGGTTGACATTAAAGTTGAAAAATGAAGTTTTGAAGATAATAATGATGAAGAAGTGATTGATATATTGGATGAGTGATGACAGCAGTGATGGTGAGTCCACTGACGATACCAAAGACATAAAAACGACAATTGTTAAGACTATTAACGATTATAACAATACTGTTTGCAAACAGGATTTCGTAAATGAAACTATGGATCAAATTCATGATAACAACAACAACAACACTATTAATGGCAATACTTCCTCACAAACAAAGTTTGTAATCTTAAAAAAATGTTTATTTAAATTATAAATTAATATAATTTATTTGAATTATAAATTATAATATTATGAACAGTGTCTCTATTTTGGAAACAAACGACAATCAATTGTTGTCTACAAAATCTGATACTATTATAACAAAACAATTTACCCGTATTTGTGATATTTGTGAGAAATTATTTATAGAGGAATGGAGTTTTATAGTTCACATGAAATTTAAACATAAGATTAATTTACAACAATTCAAATGTCCACACGAGGGATGTACAGGTGTTTTCAAATTAAGAGAACATCTCAAAAGTCATATACAATTAAGACATCTACATACCGGTGCAGTCAGAAAATGCAACGTTCAAAATATCGTATGGTTTCCCTACAGGTGCTCCCGACGCGATTGTTACCAGGGATTTGAAAAATTATGTCTATTTAATGAACACAAACGTCAGGGACATCCCAGGAACAGCTAATTAATGTATCGCTACTAACAAAACATTAAATTATAATATACTGTGAATCTAATTACTGGTAATCTATTAAAATATTGATTTTTGTGTTTTAGTTACAAATATTAAATCATAATTAAATTTTTTAATGTATTTTTTATATAATATTAGTCAAAAAAAAATTTTTTTATAATAACTTAATTATTGGTTAAATTTAATGATGTATAAGCTGGCGGTGGTAGTGATGTTTGGGCACAGGTATCATAATCAGGTGGTTTGTCAATGACTTCTAATTCAACAGTTTGTATGTTATTTGTTATTGAAGTTAATGTTGTCGTTAGTCTATATCCTAATAGATTATAATTTAATTTATTAATTACTATTTGAAAAAAAACAATTAACTATAATAACTAATCTATAATAATTACCCCTGGATCTATTATAAAAATTTTTAAATATTTTCCATCTAATTAACAATATTACCGTTAATGACATAATAATAACAACTACTGTACTGTGAATATTTAAATCTAAATTATTATTATAAGCAATACATATATAATTATCTTCATAGTAATCACTTTTACAATTACAACATTTACTATGAGTATTACATTCCCGATTCTTATCATACAATTGGCAATCACTGTCATCAACACAGTTGACACTATCGGTTGTGTTATATTTATCAATAAACCGATAGTTGGGTTGAAAACGGCACCGATTGTTATAACAAAATTGATTTGGCGGCCAATAACCGCACGGTTTGTTGCTATCATCACAATATTGTTGATCAACTCTAACACATTTGAGAGCCCGAAATGGATCGACATAATAGCCAACAGTGCACTCACAGTTAGCATCAATGCATTTCCTATTGATATCATAGTCTTGACAGTCATAGTCATGATTGCAAAGCCCATAGCGACAGACTTTAGTGTCGCCGACATCTAAGTAATGATTTGGCGCACACCGGCACCGACTGTCAGCACAGTTAACAGTAGTCATGTATGGTCTAAGCCGACAGTCCTGGTCGGTCATACACGACATATTCACTTTATAGCCATCACCCGAACACTTGTAGCCATTATCGGGATCGGCATATGTTTTCTCACTGCATATACACCCTTTTCCATTTGAATTGCACCATCTCATTTTATCATATTTTTGACAATCAATGTGATTCAAACATGAATAATAAGCAGTGTCATTTTTAATTTCATCAAACTTATAGTTGGCTGCAAATTGGCAACGATTATCAAAGCATACCTGATTACTGGGCCAATCACCACATTTATGCTCATTATTACACTGATTGTCATCAATAGGTTTACATTTTAGCCCATTATTTGGATCGGGATATAAGTTAAAGTCAGTGTAACATTTGCACTGTTTCTTATATTTATCACATACTCTCAATTGATCCAATATTTGACAATTACTTTCATAGTATTCACATCCAACTTTGATCGTATCGTTTAAATCATCAATAAATCTATAGTTGGGTGCAAATTGGCACCGATTATCATAACACACCTGATTGCTGGGCCAATCATCACACGGTTGACTGTCATTACATTCAGTATTAGCTAATTTAATACATGTCAGACCATTGCTTGGATCGGTATAATAGTTAATACGACATTCACACTGTTTATTATAGCACTCTCTATTCATATCATAGTAACGACATTCCCAATCATTAAAACAACTACTATATGGAAATAATTTGGTTTCAATTATATTATTATTATTATATGTTTTATTTTTTACGGCATAAATAGTTAGTAAATTAGTTATTAAAATATATATAACAATAAAATTATACATTATATATATATTTTTAGAAAATATTAAACAGTTATTTTGTTAAATTAAAATACCGGTAATATTTAATAGTTAATACACATAAATACAACCAATTTCTTAGCAATTTTCGTTAAAAAAAATAGTAATGAAATAAAATTAAGTTTTATCATATTTTTGCTGATAATTTATATTATATGATAAATGGCTAAACTTTATATAAATACTTTATTAAAAAAACAGTTATCAGATAATAAAATTTTATTATAATGTTTATCATACATTAAATTTAACATTAATTATTATGACTCATATAATATGCATTTTACTTATTTTTTTATGGGAGGGGGAATTTGGAGGGAATTTATTAAAATATTATTCATTGAAAATAATAAAACTATTTATTAATGAAACCTGTATAATAGATTATTATTATATATATATATATATATTAATACTGTATAATCAATATCATTAATTTACCCTGTATACATTAATAATAAAAATAAAACATATATTTAATTGGTTAATTATAAAATCACGTGACATTTAGTACAATTTTTTTTTAATTTTATAACTTATATAGTATTTTTCAATTAAATTATACAATTTAAACAAATTGATGCCAAAAAAACAATGTCAACAAATAAACGCATTATTGTTTCATTGATGACAATGAGACCACCATTGGATGACTACTGGTTTGCCATACCATCAATGGTTAAAACTATTTCCGATTTGAAAAGAGAGTTAACCGCAGATATGGACGCATTGAATGGCGTTGAAGTGGATTTGTTTATGGATAATGTGTTGTTAAGAGACAACTCGTTGATTGATATGATTGAAGACAAAGACAGAGTTGAGATCAAAACTAAAACATCTTGTTTTATAACAACTCTGTCGACAACAACGAAACGTATTAAACGGGAACCGATCGATGAAAAGTTGATAACAACTAATAGTATCTCAATGTTTGTAATAAAAACTCTATATTTTGTTTTTTTTCTTATTTAATATAATTATTTTTGTTTAATAATTAAGTGGTAATAAAATGGTCAACAATTTGATGACAAAATGTGTAAAACAGGAAATAAATAGTGATGAAGAAGAGATGCCAATTGACACAAAAGTTAGACCAATGGTTGACATTAAAGTTGAAAAACAAAGTATTGTAAATAATAATAATGAAGAAGAAGTGATTGATATATCGGATGAGTCGTCGTGTGATGACAGCAGTGATGATGAGTCCAACGATGAACATAACAATTGCATTGATAGAGATGTCAATAATGATGACAAAGACAAAGTTGAGATCAAATCCAAGTTTACATATGATATTACAACTGATATCAATAACTCTGAGGTGAAGAAGAAACGCTCCAAAAGTCAATCGATGGCTAAAGACATTACTGTAACAGACAGTGATTGTGTCGGAAAAGTGGATACAAAACGAGTAAAACAAGAATCGATTGATACGATTATCAAAAGTTTGGATATCAATTCAATGAAGAAGCGCATCAAAGAACTGATAGCAACTAATAGTATTTCAAAGTTTGTTAATAATGTTTTTAAAATATAAATATTAATTTACAATTTTTTCTAACCTTAAATAAAGTGAAAATAAGAAAATAGTCAACAATTTAATGTCAAAATGGGAGCCAATAAATGATGAAAAAGATATGACAGAAGTTAGACCATTGGTTAACATTAAAGTTGAAAAACAAAGGATTGATACATCAGATGAGTCGTCGAGTGATAGCAGCGATGATGAGTCTATCGATGATAACCACAATACAACTGATAAGGCTATGAATGATAATTATTACAATACTGTTATCAAACAAGAGTTACCAATTGAATCTATTGTCAAAATTCATGACAACAACAACAACAATACTGTTAATGGATTTACTTCATTACAAACTAAGTGTGTAATCGTAATATTTAATTATTATTATTATTAGTAAAATTTAATTAATTATTCAAAATTATCGAAACAGTGTTTTCATGGCTACAACATATGAGAAGCAATTTTTGTTGACTACAACTGAAAATAATAGCAAAAGACAACATAAGACAATGTCTTCTTATTATTGTTATTATAATGATTGTAACAAACTTTATAATACGGAACATCAATTAGCTCAACACATGAAAGCTAAACATCAAATCAATTTATTTCCATTCAGATGTCCACAGAAGAGATGTCAAAGTGTTTTCAAATTGAAAGAACAACTCGAAGAACATAAACAAACAAAGCATTCAAATACCGGTGCTGTCATCGGTTCAATCGATTCTAATATAAAGAGGTATTTTTTGATAAATTTAATTTTTAAAATCAAATAAATATTATATATTTATTAATTGTATTGATTTTCATACAGTATGACAGCATCTGATATCACATACTTGAGATTTAAGCAATCATTGGTAAAAAAGCCAAAGGTCAGGGTCAAATTTACATGCGATTATAATGGTTGCAATAGACAGTATAGGAAGAAAAATAAATTTATTTTTCATCGGCGTTTACATAACATATGCGCTTACGATGACTGTCTTAAAATTGATCCCTTTATTAATTCATATTATTTAATAAAACATTTAAAAGATGTCCACAATATTGTATGGTTACCAGCAATGCTTAACCTTAAGAAATAAATTAATTGCATAATTAACGTATTATAAGATATTATCAAAATTATATATTCATATTAATTTTATTAACAAATAATAAATTATTATTAAAATCAAATCAAATCTTTATTTTCATCTCTTTCAACAAAAGCTGATTTACAAAGAAAGCCATAAATAAATTTTTAAATAAAATTAACAACAATTGAAAAAAACATAAATTATTATTATTATTATTAGTGTACTTTAATTAGTTAATACAAAAATGAACCAAGGTACTCTGTTCAATTTATACGCTTACATACTGTATATATAAAGTAATACAGTATTAATAATGTAAGTAATGATGTCATTTGGGAGAGCATATGATTAAAGAGGTAATCGACTGTTAGTTTATATTAAGTATAAGATAAACCATATATTATATTTAAAAATGATCAATTACAATTATGTTCAATTTAATATTATCTACAAATATACCCTTGATCATTTTTAAATTGAATGTATGGTCTACTAATGTTTTCATTTTTCAAATAAAATTAAAAACAATTGATAATAACATGTGTTTACAATAATTAGATAATCATAACAACAATAATGACTACAATTAAGCGCATTATTGTCTCATTGAAGACCATTAGACCACACATTGATGACTACTGGTTTGCCATACCATCGATGGTCAACACTATCGGCGATTTGAAGAAAGTCTTGACCGGAGAAGAGTATGCATTGAATGCCGAAGAAGTGAATCTGTTTATGGATAATGTTTTATTAAGAGACAACTCGTTGATTGATATGATTGAAGACAAAGACAGAATTGAGATCAGAGCCAAAGCTTCGGCTAATATAACAACTGATGTCAACAACTCTGCGAAGAAGAAAGACTTTAGTTATCAACCGATGGCTAAAGACATTACTGTAACAGACAGTAATTGTATAGTAAATGTGGACAGAGAAGAGATCAGAGACACTGATATAAGTCCTATGATTGACATTAAAGTTAAGAAATTAATTATTGATAATAATAATGACGAAGAAATGATTGATATTTCGGATGAAACTTTAAGTGATTATAGCAGTGATAATGAGTCCAATGATAGGGCACTGAAAAACTACTTCAATGATAGGGATTATAATAATAATAATAAGACTGTTAACAAACAAGAGAAACCAATTGAATCTATGGTCCAAATCAATGACAACACTTTAACACCAGCTAAGTATGTAATCATAATATTTATAAAAAATTTATTTAATAATTTTTTTTATATACTAACAGTGTTTCCATGTTTTCAACTACCAGTAATGATAATCTATTGTTATCCACCACTGCATACGATAATTGCAAACAGCAAATAACAAAATTATGTTAGTATTGTGATTATAAGAATTGTAACAGAATTTATAAAACAGAACCACAATTAGCGCAACACATGAAAGATAAACATGAAATCGTTTTATTTCGATACAAATGTTCAGTCAAGAGATGTCGGAATGTTTTCAAATTAAGAGAACAACTCGAAGAACATAAACAAACAAAACATTCGTCGATCGGTGCAATCGATACTAATATAAAAAAGTATATTATATTTTCAATTAAAAAATAATTTTTATTTATTGTATTGATTATCATTTAGAAGATTATCGAAATACAAATTGAAATTTACATGCGATTATAATGATTGCAATAAAGTGTATTCAGGAAAAAAGAAATTGAATCGACATTTACGTTATATACATCACATATGCGGTTATAATGATTGTCATAAAATCGGTCCATTTAGTGATTCACGTGATTTGATTAGACATCTAAAATATATCCACAATATTGTATGGTTGCCATCAATGCTTAACAATGATTGTAATCACGATTATAACCAACTTTTACCATTAGATACAAGCAATGTTAACCACAAGAAATAAATTAATCGCAAATTTAATTATATTAGTATAAAAATATTATTAAATTTTCTTTTATTATTACTATTAGTAAAAAAATACTAATTTAAATTCAATAATATTTAATAAAATAAATGAAAAATAACTATTATTTCCTTTTTTGCTGTAATATATTTTAGTAAAATAAAAATGCTATTAAATTCAACAAAAAATTATTAAGAATATCTGCAACGTTATTATTTTTTTTATTTAAGTTATTATATTTATTAGGCATTGAATACTAAAGTATAAAATTATAATTGTATTAAATTTATATTACATTAGATTAACAATTAATTTGTTTAACAATGTCTTCACAAAAACGTATTATAATATCATTAAAGAAATTAAGATCACATGTGGAAGACTACTGGTTTGCCATACCATCGATGGTTAAGAATATCAATGATTTGAAAACAATTTTGACAACAGAAGAGAACTTGAATGCTGAAGAAGTGGACCTTTATATTAATGATGTCTTATTAAGAAACAACTCGTGCGTCGATATTATTAAAGATGAAGACATAGTTGAGATCAGAACCAAATGTTGTGGTAATATAACTAATGTTAAAAAGTTTTCGATGAAGAAACTCTCCAAAAGACAATCAACGGTTAACGACATTGTCGGACACAATACTGACAATTCAGAGTAAGTCTTAGTTTATTTGGGTTTTTATATTAATTATAAGTTAATTCAATTATTTTATATTATATTTAGTGATAATAATTGTGTCGTAAATGTAAACGGAAAACGTGTAAAACAAGAACCGATTGTCAATAGTTTGGACAACAGTGTAGTGAATAAACGCATCAAACGGGAACCGATAGATAATAATGACAAAACTGTTATCAAACAAGAAATACCAATTGAATCTATTGTTCAAATACACGACAACCATAACAACATTGTTAATGGCTGTACTTCATCACAAACCAAGTGTGTAATCGCTGTTATACAGTATAGTTAAATTAATTATTAATTTTTAAAAAATAAATAATTAAATTTATTTAGTAATATACTAAATATAATATATTAGTTAATTATTTATATTTTTTTCAGTGAATATATGTTTGCAACAAATGACAATCAATTGTTGTTCACGACTTCCAGTAGTAGTAGTAGTGATAATCAAAGCAAACAGCAAACCACAAAAAATTCTTGTCGCAGATGTGATTATAAAAATTGTAACAAACTATTTAAAAATCAATTTGATTTACAACAACACATAAAAGCTAAGCATGAAATGGTTTTACGGCCGTTCAAGTGTCCACATAAAGGATGTGGTAGTGGTTTTAGATTAAGAAACCAACTCGAAAAACATATACAAACAAAACATTTACATACAGGTGCTCAATGTACTAATCGTTTTATAAGTGAGAGGTATTATTTAATATATCAATATATACTGTACAGTGTTTATGTATAAAACAATGTGTAAAAATATTATCATTAATTATATTTTTTTATAGATTATCAATTGATTGGCTAAAATTGGATCAAACAACTAATAGATTCAATTGTGATTATTATGGTTGCAATAAAGGCAATTTAACAAAATCCAAATTTATTAAACACTTGCGTTATATTCATTACAATTGCTGTTACGATAACTGTCCTCAAAGTTGTCGTTCAATGAAAGATTTGGTCAAACATATGAGGAATGTCCACAATATTGAATGGCTGCCATACAAGTGCTTTCGTAGCAATTGTAAGCAACAATTTCAAACATTAAGTGAATTTATGAAACATAAATGGATAGCTCATAGATTAATAAATAATTAAATTATTATTTAATTTATCAATTAATGAATCTATTTTATGTATTAGTTTTATAACTTTTTTTATTAAGTTTTATAAAGTATTTATTAAATTTTATATATATATATATATTTAATATATCAAATATTTCAAACTCTATGTCATTGTTTAATTATATATTTATGTTTTTAATTACTAGTATTATATACATAACTATTTTAAAAATTATATTTTCTTAAAATGTATTTTATTTTTATGTAATTATGTAATGTTTTTAATAAAAAAATTTATTATTAATATTTGTTACGTTATTTTTTTCTTAAATTTAATATTAAAATTATTTTTAGTAATTGAATCACACTTTACTTAGAGCTGGAGATTAAATGATTGAACGCTTTAACTCATTAATGAAACTTTAGTTGCTTTGAACTAACAAAATGATTATTACTAGCAATTAGTTTTGTTAAACAATGTCTACACAAAAACGTATTATAATATCATTTAAGAAACTACGATCAAATGTCGATGACTACTGGTTTGCCATACCATCGATGGTTAAGAATATCAATGATTTGAAAACAATTTTGGCCACAGAAGAGAACTTGAATGACGAAGAAGTGAATCTGTATATCAATGATGTCTTATTAAGAGAGAACTCGTGCGTCGATATTATCAAAGATGAAGACAAAGTTGAGGTCAGATCCAAATGTTGTGATAATATAATGGATGTCAACAACTCTGTGATGAATAAAGGATTAAAAAGACAATCAATATTTAAACGCATTGACCGACAGAGTACTGAAAATTCAGAGTAAGTCTTAAGTGATTTATTTATATTTTATGATTAAAAAAATTAATTAAAAATATTTTACGTTATGTTTAGTGATAATTATAATACAAAACATTTAAAACAAGAACCGAATGATACGGTTCACAAAAGTTGGAATAAATTTACATCTTTTGGCAACACTTTGTGGACAAAACATGTAACGGAAAAAGTCATTCATTTCAACGATCAAACAATTGTTAATAAAGACATAGAAGTGATTGATATTTCAGACGACTCGTCCAGTAATAGTAGTATTGAGTCCAAAGATGATACTCACGACACTATCGATAAAGAAGTCACTAAAAAAGTCATTAAAGATTTCACTAAAGATTTCAATGAATCCAATGAAGAATCTAATGAAGAATCCAAAGAAGAGTTCAAAGAAGAGTCCAAAGAAGAGTCCAAAGAAGAGTCCAAAGAAGAGTCCAAAGAAGAGTCCAAAGAAGAGTCCAAAGAAAAATCCAAAGAAGAATCCAAAGAAGAATCCAAAGAAGAATCCAAAGAAGAATCCAAAGAAGAATCCAAAGAAGAATCCAAAGAAGAATCCAAAGAAGAATCCAAAGAAGAATCCAAAGAAGAAGCCAATGATGTCAATGATAATAACAAAACTGTTGGCAATCAAGAGATACCAATTGAATTTATGATACAAATGGACGACATCAACATTTTTGATGACTTTATATCATCTGTCAATAAGTTTGTATTAGTAATATCTTAATTAAATTATTGTTATAACTAATAATTAAATTTATATTAATATGAACAGTGTCTCAATGGTTCCAACACATGACAATCAACAATTAATATCTAATAAATGTGATAATAATAATAATATGAATCAGAAAACGACAAAAGCAGATCATTATTATTGTGATTATAAGACATGTAATACAAGAATATTTAGAAGGAAACAGGATTTACAACAACACATAAAAGCTAAACACGAAAAGTCCTTCAGATGTCAACATAAGTTGTGTGGAAATGTTTTCAAACTAAGAGAACAACTCGAAGAACACCAACAAACTAAACATTCACATACCGGTGCCAACAACTGTACTATCGATTCTAATAGAAAGAGGTAATTAAAATAATTTATTTAACATTTTTGATTATTTTTTAGATTATCATTTAAATAGTAATGATTATACAACTGACTACTTAAAAGAATTCAAACAAACATTTCAATGTGATTATTATTGTTGCAATCTATCATATTTGACAAAAGAACTGTTTATTAAACACCAGAGATATACACATAAGATATGCGGTTACGATAATTGTCGTCAAAATTATCGTTTAGAAAGTGATTTGCAGAAACATATGAGGGATGTTCACAATTACCAATGGCTAACATACAGGTGCTCTGAAAGCGATTGTAATAAAAAATTTCAAACATTAGAAGAATGTGCTCAACACAAACTGACAGTTCATTTTCCAACTAATTAATTACTAAAATAAGATATTATAATATTTTTTATTATTATTATAAAATTAATATATTTGTAAAAAATAAATAGTTTCTCATTAATATAACAAATACTGCATTAAACTACTATTAAGCTTATTTATTATGATAAGCGATAATTATGTATTTATTCAATACTATTGAATAATTAAATAATAAAATTTGTTGAAAACTTTGTCATTATTAAATTAAGAAAAACTATTTTTACTCTTTGAGCTTAAGATTAAATACTAAAATAAGTTTAACTATAATACACAAAAATTTAGATCTATCAAATGTAATAAATTGCAAACTGCCCTCTCTCATTTATTTAAATTATAACAATTGTTTAATTATATGTAACATATGTTATATTTAGACTTTAATCAGTGTATTATTGACAGACAACTAGTGATTCAGTAGTATTCATGTAATTAGTTTTACATTTAGTATTAATAGTATTAAAAAGCAAACATAAACTATATTATTAATAATCTTCTGTTAGTTATTGAATTCATTAACATTGAAAAATTAAAAAAAAAATATTGAGTCTTAATTCATTTCATTGAATTTTATATATAATATTTCTATTGAATTGAATCAATTAATCAATCGCTTGGTTTGACAAACACAATGCCCAGACGTCGTCTCAATCGTCGGTTAAAAAAGGCATTTCTCACAAATGCCAATCAGTCGGTGGTGTCGGTATCGGCGTCGCCGGCGGCGGTGAAACCCATTCCAAGTGATAATAATGGCAGCCATTCGTGGCATTACCACAACTGGAACAAGACGTTTGAATTCAATGAAGAATACAAATACGATTGTCTGTATAAAGAATGTAATGAAAAAAATTGTTTTCCGAACCAAAAGAATCTGTTGAGACATTTGCGCCAAAATCATATGCAATGCAATTACTATGACTGCAATACTAGAGGATCGTTGGCTGAATTGGAGGAACACATGGAAAGGGTTCACAACAGGTTCGCAAAGTTGCCGTTCAAGTGTCCGCACAGTCGTTGCCGGTATAAGTTCAGATCGTTGGCCCGATTGGTACAACACGATATAATAGATCATTGAAATCTTAATTTATTATTATATTTAGAGTCTATTTTATTATGTAATCAAATATTTAATATATGAATATCTATCATACAGTGTATGTATGTATTTAATATAATAATTTGGTAGTTAATCAATAGTTAGATGACAGAGAATTTTCATTTACTTTTACTAACAATTTGTTTATATTTGTTGTAAAGTTTATAAATGTTATTTTTTGTAATTATTTAAGATAAGTTATTTTTGGCATATATTTTGGTATTTAATTTAATTTTAATAAATAATATTTAACAAAAAAAATAAGTTATTTGTTTTATTTATTACAAATTACTAATATATAGTAATATTTATAAAGATATCGATGAGAAAATTTAAATATAAACTTTTATTTGTTAGTTTTGTAATGAGATAATAATGTATGTAAAACAACAACACAATACTGTATAACATCAACTAAAAGGTTAATACAGTATATCTATAGGTATTATTATAAACCGTATTTATTGTACAATAAATATAAGTTACGGTAATATATTATTTTTAGATATGAGTGAAAAAATATAATTATTATAATTGTTTAATAACTATTAATTAAGTATTAAATGCTGACATTAATGATAGCCGTACCGACCACTTGATGGCCACTCGAATATATAGTAATACTTTTTTTGTTATCACTTCCCGGAGCTCCGCCACTGTCGTTGACCTCACCGATAGGTCTTTCCGTTATTCGAGATATACGTCTCGTATCGGCCGCTGTCGAGTTGTCTTTATTATCTATATTATCAATACGTTTTCTACTATTTTGACCACTAATTGATCTATCGTCGGGTCTTAGTCTACTATCTCTTGGTTTATTGTGATTATTTTTGACCATCAAATAGACAATTAGGAAGGCGCCAATAATTACAAAAACAAATATAATAAACAATACTATAATCCACGGAGCGTTACGATGGGTGTAGTCATCGATGTCCGCGGGAGCGTCGAAACCGCTAAGATCTATGTCCTGTAGCGGCAAATAAGATTTCTGACGACATTTGATGAGATGACTATCTATCGGATAGTACGGTCCGAGTTGACCCTCGAAACGTCCCGATTGTCGGTCATGACTGGTAACTGAATAGATGGCAAACTCTTTGTCGGTAAGAAAATAGATGTCCTGTTTGATGGCAAAGGCCAGACCGATATGTCTTCCGTGCGAGTCATCGGTATTGAGTCCAAAGTCGGTTAAATTACGCGGATATCCCGGTAGCTGTCGTTTTGCTTGAAAATCGTACGCATAATATCTGTGATCTTGAATGAAATAAATATAATACGCTGTCAGCCACATAAACAGGTTGTCCACTGGTTCGGTAGTATCAACTGTTAGTCCTGGAAACGGGTGTGATTGATGTTCCAACTCTATGGCCCGTTTGATGTCATACAACAGCGTCTGTGAGGTCAGTCCCGACGTGAACACCACAGTAATGTTGTACATATCGGCGCCAACCGGAATGGCAAACATACCTTCCACTGAATTGAACATAAACTGGTGTTCCCAACCCATTTGCGACTGTTCTCTACCGCCATTAATATCATAGATCCATAAACACCGGTCTTTGGTAGCAAATAGCAACTGTTTTCCAGACCTATCGTCTACATTGATGTTGCTGTTGTCGGCACTGGTAGGCAACGGTGTGATTGTATCAAACGGAAATGATTTACAGATTTTACCACAACTTCTAAATTTTTGTTTAGTTCGCCCGACTTTCGGTTGACTCCAATGTTTGGTCGACTGATCCTCAGAGATCTCTTTACCCTCTTCTCTGTTGTCATAGTCGTCATAATTATTGGTCTCATAAGTACTGAGCGCTTGGATTAATTGTAATGAAGACGACAACGATGTGATGTCAAACTCACTATTGTCTGAACTAATCGTAGTAATAGTGGACACAAATTCATTGTTATTAGTATTATCATTATGTCTGTCAATAGTGTTAGTGCTATTAGTATTTGTTGTTACATTTAGAGACCAAATTACAGGGATTAAGACAATAAAAGTATTGATAATAAATATAAAAACAATCATATTTTTTAAAAATTCAATCCGATATACAATTAATTAGATTATACTTATTAGTATAAAGTTTGAAATTATAATTAAATTTGAAATTTTGAGATTCACGCGAGTAATAAATATATTAATACTGTATAATGTAATGTGTAATACAATATGTATTTTAATAGTTATATAATATTGTATAGTATTTTTGTTTTTGTATAGTTATAATAATTGTATAAACTTTAGTGATTGAATGATCTGATTTAATTAATTTGAAAAAATTAAATCTTATTACTTATAAATTTACATTAATATTCATAAAAGTTTTAATATTATATTAATACTTTTTTGATAAAATGCAAATATGTACAGTACCGTACATGTACGGTACATGTATTATTTATTAATATTTTTTTAGATACACTAAATAATAATTAAATAACACAATTACTCAGCAAATAATTTATATTTTATATTATGTTTTATTTTATTAATGTTATACTGTACAGTACAGTACATATTGATAAATTGAATCTAAATAAATTGTAAATTAGTTATTGATGTTTCATTATTTAATATACTGTAACAGTAATTTAGTTGTATTAATAATATAAATTGGTATATTTAAATAAATAATTTCTAGAAATTACTTTATTATTAGTAATATTTTATATTATTTCTATATATTAGAAAATATTTTTAAATCAACAAATTATTATTTTTATAAAATGTTTTTTTTTAAATAATTATTTTGTTATAATGAATATAACCATATTTATTGTGCTTTATTTAGTACACCAAACAGTGTGTACCGATAGTAGACCGTTGGTGACCACCAGTTCTGGTGTAGTACGGGGACAGACATTGTATTTAAATAATAAAAAGATCGACCAATACTTGAACATACCATTTGCCGAACCACCGGTCGGTAGATTAAGGTTTGCTAAACCCGTACCATTGAAAACACCGCAAAATGTAAGTAAAATAAATAAATTTCGTTAGTAATCTATTATATCTAAAAATATATAATTATTAAATAGGAAATTATTAATGGCATATATCCGGGCAATAGTTGTATACAAGATATCATAGGAAATCAGAAACCTTTGACTGAAAGTGAGGACTGTCTTGTACTAAATGTTTGGTCACCTAATATGAATAGTACTAATGATACGACATTAAAACCGGTAATGTTTTGGATATATGGGGGCGGATTGAGTATGGGATCAATATTTCAAGAGACATTTAACGGAACTGTTTTGGCCACATATGATATGGTAATAGTTGCGGCCAACTATCGTGTGGGTGCTCTCGGCTTTCTATACGGTGCTGACGATAGTGCACCGGGAAATCTAGGATTTTACGACCAATTGTTGGCACTTCAATGGCTCAGAGATAATGTGCATGTGTTTGTCGGAGACAGAGATCTGATAACAATATTTGGTCAAAGCGCCGGTAGTACTTCAATAGCAGCGCATATACTTTCGCCCTTATCTAATGGGCTCTTCAAGCGAGCTATAATGCAAAGCGGTTCCCTATTGTTCAACAAAGACAGACCACTTTTGGATACAACGGATGCATTGAAAAGGTTTAAACAAATGGCCCGTCAATTGGATTGTGATCCATATGACTATCGCTGGTTGGACTGTCTCCGCGATATACCCGATCCTAAACTGTTTTGTAATAAACCACATAATTATAGCGCACTTCCGTTCAATTTTCCAGTAATTGGTACCGAATTTTTGCCTCAATTACCACTAAAGTCATTTAGCCTGGCTAGTTTAAATATTGGTAATCAATAATTAAATGTTTTATTTTTTTAAAAAACTATAATTACAATAATTAAAAACTGAAAACTTTATTTATTAAAGATATTGATCTAATGGCCGGTACGACCACTGATGAGGGACCGGGTCTGCTGTTAGGCTCATACACTGAATCCAAGAGTCATATGAATAGACAATTGTTTGATAAATTATTGAATGAAATGGACAACGATTTTCATAATTTAGAAATTGATAAATTATTGACACACTATTTAAATAATGCTAATAATAGTATAAATGATAGTAATAATTTACTAAATGCACTTGGTACTCTATATGGTGATCTACTTATGGTTTGTCCGACCTATTTGTTTACTAAATTGTTATCTATGGTTCAAAATTATGGTAAAAATGTCTATTATTATCGCTTTGATTATAAAAGCGATAAAATGGATAATCCATGGAAAATATTGGAAAAATATATGGGTCTCAATGGTAGTCTAATACATCATAGTAGTGATCTGGACTTTGTATTTGGCACACCTATTATCAAACAACAAGATTTTAGTGAACTGGACTATGATTTTAGTTTAGAAGTTATGAAAATGTGGACCGATTTTGCTAAATACGGGTAATAATGTATTTTTTAGTAAATATCTATAATATACTATTAAATGTTAAATAATATAACAATTAATTTATTAAATAGTAAACCGAGTAATGATTGGCCAAAATTCTTGGACACAACTGTTGGCGACGACAACCAATTGGTGTCCAAAATAAAAGTGTTGACACCGTATGACTTAACACGTGTTGAGGAAAACCCGTTTTTAAGTACGTGTGACGGCGTTTGGAAACAATATTTTCTCTAAATAAATACTTATTTTTAATTATATTTTATTGATAAATATTGTTTTTAAAAATATTTTAAATATTAATTTGTTTTGATAAGTAATAAATATGAAAATTTTATAACTATTTAACTATTTATACATATTTTTGTTTGATAAATAGTTAAATATTTAAACAAAAAATACACAATAATATCTTAGATATGAAATATAATCTTTAAAAATATAAATTTATTAGAAACTTAAAATATAAGTTCAAAGTTTTCATTTTAACTATTTTTGACTGTAATATATTTACTACAGTATATTAATGACTATTGATTTTGTAATTAAAATTGTTAGTCTTATATGTACTCTAAATAAATTCAACTTAATGTTGAATAAAACAATTCAATTAATTATTATGTATTAAATGTCAAACTTTTTATTTATTCGGCTTTGAATATTTTAAACCAAGATTTATTACTTAACTGTTTTTAAAACATATTAAAATTGAATCCTCTAAAATCTAAAATCTTGCTTAACCCCGATTAAACTATATTTTTTTAAAAAAATAAACAATAAATAAATTATTTATTTATTATATCTCTGTATAAAATGTTTGAATCAGTAATATTTTATATTTCATAAGTAATTTGTTTTTTATTTGATAAAATACTTATTTATTTATAAAAACAGTGATTTAATGTCATCACTATTATCTTAAATAAATTTATTATTATATAATTTGTTTTTAGTATCAATAGTTATAAATTCATAGATATTTTGCTACAATTAATCAAAATATAAAGTTATTGCACTATATTTGCTAATAATATAGCATTAAATAAATTTATAGTAATAATCTATGTTTTGTATGTGTATGTACTGTAACGTTTATTTATTATGGGGTTAGTAGTAGTTTAGGTTAGATTGAAAAAATTACACAAATTTAGGGAAATAACTATTTTATTATATCACACCATATAAATTATACAGTACAGTTTTAAAAGGTAAAAGTAGACCGACTTAAGTGTGTGTGTGTATGTATTATATAAGTGTTGGGTTTATATAGATTATCCAATAATATCATAGATGGGGAGGGGCATAAAGTATATTACAATTCTTCTCAGGTACAGATAAATGTTTGTCCCTAAACATTATACATTATTTATGGACAGCATGTATAGTACTGTATATGTATATATTATTTGAATTTTGATGCCTGTATGTAAAACACGTGTTTTTTGAAATTGTATTTGTTTTTTTATAATTATAATATATTAATTTTTTAATAATGGTTACTATTACGGTCGAAAATAATTGTAATAGTAGCATACGTTATGATAGTAGTAATGGTGGTGTCGGTGGTGGTAGTAGTAGTAGTGGTATCGGTGGTGGTAGTAGTAGTAGTAGTGGTATCGGTGGTGGTAGTAGTAGTGGTAGTGATGGTGTCGGTGGTGGCGGTAGTGGTGGTCGAATAACCCGAAGTGGTAACAGTGGTGGTAGTATTGGTAGTAGTAGTAGCGTCGGTGGTGGTAGTGGTAGTAGTGTCGGTGGTGGTAGTACTGGTTGACTAACCCGGAGTAGTATCGGTGGCGGTAGTAGTAGTGTAGGCGGTGGTAGTAGTAGCGTCGGTGGTGGTGTCGTTTGTAATAATACTAATTTGGTCTGTGGTCCGTCTACTAGTTCGCTGGCTACCGATTACTCGGTAAGTTCGTTGTTATTATTATTATTATTATTATTAGTATTATTATTATTATTATTATTACGATTTTTTTACTATTATTATTATTAGCGTTATAGTTCAGGATCTAGTGGTGTTTTTTTGACCGATCGCGAAAGTTTAAGACCCTATGTACCGAGAAGGATGCGGTTGCATCTTTTTTCCGATATTAGGTATCGGATGACTAAGCGGGCGACGACAAAATATTCGCGACCCCGTCGAAATGCGGAAGGCAAATATGAAATTGATATTATTTTTGCCACAGCGGTCTACGGTAAACAGGGGCCAAAAGTGTTTGTATTTTGGTATGGTTGGCCAAATGCTACTGTTGAGGATTATGCTGAATTCTTAACTTCACCAGTATTGAAGCGATTTTACCATCCGGGTAGATACGGTAATACTGGTTCATCGGTTGGGTTACCATCGATAGATGTAGATACGGCTATCGTTTGTTCCGACGGCCATTATGGGAAGACTATGTCAATGTTTTTTCAATGGTTCATTGATATGGGGTTATTGTCACTCACACAAGGGTTTGTGAGGTAATAATTTAACAACACTTCCATTTAAAGCTATACTGTAATTATTATTTATTTTTTTTTGAAGTTCATCACCTCTGTTGGTTCAAGAATTAGAACTACAGGCATTCCGTGACATGTATAATTTGTTGGCACCTTTGCCATCAGATTATTATCTTCATGATAAAGTACTCGGATGGTCGCAGGGTTCCATACAAGTAGATTGTAGATATAAGAAATTAGCGCCTGAATTTCGGGCGTTATTGTGTAGATCGCCCAGTACTTCCCGATATAAGGTATCGCAGGTCGTTAATCGTTATCGGCTGTGCTTTTTTGTGGTATTTAGAGTATCTGAGATAGTTGGTGGGTGCCGAACTGTTCATTCCGGTCTTCTGATTTCTGAGAAATTGCCAACGGATTTAGTAACATGTATAGTAGTTATTGATTGTTTGTTTTTTTTTTTTGCTTTTGATTTATACGTATTGTTTACAGTATTTTCAAAATTAATTTCTCAATCATTTTCGAGACAACAATTCATATAGAACTCATCGCGTGATTTATCCGTATTTGTATAATTGATTATATTGTAATTAACAGTATTACCAGTAAGGTCTGATTGATAAGATTTTTCAGAATCATTGTATTGGGTGTCATTATATATACAATTAAATTCCTTTGACAGAGGATTGAACAATTCAGCCCAGGACAGTGTCTTATGGCCACAATTAATTACTAGATTAGCTTTTAGTGCAAAATTATTTCCTAATAATAGTTTGAATGGCAATTCCGTAACTACTGAATATTTTAAACTAATTATTTTGGTAATTTCGCCAATTGATAGCATAACATTTAGGTCTGTTTCTCCGATAACGTCTACCGGTTTACAGTTAACTGCCTTTAAGTCTTTTGATTGTTTTCGTCTATATTCGATGTTAAGTTTTTGGCACATTTTATCGCTAATAAGTGATACTTCAGAACCAGTATCTATTAATGCGTTTACAATTTTATTCTGTACACTTACTTCATGATATATTAGATTGTGATTTAGCAATGAATCACTAGAGATTGAATTTAAATCCTGAGTTAAACTATTAACATAACGTCTCTGTGGACATTCTCGCGCGTAGTGACCGACTTTCCCGCAAACAATCTCACCGTTAATCGACCGTGAGTTGCTACGCTGGCGAGCAATGTCAAACTCTACATGTTTGCGTTCGATCGTTTGACTTTCCGTCGCATTGGGATCCGGTCGGGAAAGATCGGTTAGTTCCCGGCATTTGACATATGGGGAAGATGGAGGTGTTTGTGCTCTCCGTTCATTAGGCCGATTTTCGTTACTACTACCTGGTCTGCTGCTCGAGGATTCCCTACTATTAGGGTTACTGTATCGTCGCTCTTGGGAATTGAATCTACTGTAATTAACATTTTTATTGTTATACTGATCAGTCGGCTGATAGGATCTAAACCGGTCCTTATCCAGACGTGGATCTGATCTACTAAATCTGTTGTAATTTGTATTGTTTATACGTTCTATTCGTCTTCCAAATCTATCGTAATTATTATACTGATTATCTCTTGAGTGACTTTGTTTGTTAAGTTTTACTATAACTTCATCTAGTTGTTTTCTAAGTTTTCTTATATCATTATTTTGTACACTACGTGAATCCTGTTGTCTATGTGCTTGCAAACCTGATTTAGTTTTGCATTTCTGAATATTTCGCGCATTTTGTCTCAATATTTCTATGTTATTGTTATCAAATTGATAAATCCTATCTTTGATATCATCGATAAAACCCTCACAAATGTAATCAATTTGGTCTGCGACCGGCATTTGTTGTTGATATTCTAAACAATAAAGTAATTTATCTGTAATGTACTGATCTACCTCTACAATTAAACCTTGTTTTCTGTTTTCCATTTTCTTTCTCAAAGAATGAGATCTATCTCTTGGCAAATGATAATTAATGAACGCTTGGCGCAAATTTGTCCAGTTTGTCGGTGCGGCGTCACCGGCTAACCGGATATATAATTTATACCAATTTTTTGCTTTGCCCGTCAAGAATTGATTAAAATTAAGAAAACGTTTCGCGTCATCCCACCCTTTTAAAGTAGTGGCGTCAACAAAATCGGTGACCCACTCTTCGGCATTGTCATCTATGTCGCCCGAATAACTTGTGATTCGGAGATTACCTAATGTAGACAGACCACCACTGACTACTTCATTAACAACGGCTCGTATATCCTGCATGGATATCGTTTCCTGATTCTCGCTATTTTCGGATCCTATTATAGATAATGGCATCTTTGCTCATATCCTTATTGTTTTTTTTAAATAACAATTAAATGTATCGATATACCTACTCGCAATCAATACTTTACTTAAATTACTTTGTACTTTTTTGTACCGACCACTGTCTACCTACTCGTAGAAACAGTGTTATTTTATTTAAACACAATTAGTGCTTGCGCTATGCTATGCCCACCTCCCCGCAGCTAGCGTTTTATTGGTCTGACGACACCTCGTGTCCTTCTCGCAGTTTATTATATTAATTTAATAATTATTAAATGAAAATTTTGATGATAGTCACTATTTGATGCTATCATACGCTTACACTCTGGCTGTGGCGTTCCTGTTCGCGTCGTAGACCTACCACTGGTCTTCCTTTGGTGACGGTTTTCCTCCCGAAGTGGTGACGCCTTACGCGTTGACCACTCGTTCTCGAGGTGTCCAATCCCGCCGGAAGGCCAAGTTAAGTTGGTAGGTCTCGGTAGGACCTCCAGATGTAACGTTTATTTAT